CTGCATTGTATAACCAGGTGGAAAACTGAGACACATTGATTTGAAACTCCACAAACAGGGTGACCTCGGAAGTCATCACTGATGTGTTCCTGCCTGCCTGCTCTGCCCACGCTCAGTTTATTATTACAATGTGGCATCGATGCTTGCCTTAAGACCTGCTGGCATTATTCAGCTGCCTAACAGCACTTGGCACAAGGGACTCAGGATGTCATGCTTTATATTTACTCAATGTGATGCCTAAATAGCAGAGCAATCCCATGATGCTTTGCAGATTTTAATACATCTAATATAGCCAGTGCACTAAGTGTTATTGCTTGTAATATGGTGTAATACTGTCCCCAGGGTATATAAGAACAATAGCCGTAATGATAATAGAGAAACCTTGCACTAGAACAGCATCATTGGTATATTTGCGCTCCATTGCACTCAGTCAATGGTTGTATGTGACAACTTATACTATAGGATACCATACAATTACTGTCAGCCCTCTTTCAGAAAAGGAAACAGAAAATGTCAACTGAGACATACAGTCTAAATCATCACCTAAATGGCAGGGAAATATCTTGGACAAAGATTTTAAAGAGGAGAGAAATGGGTACCATCCATCTGCATGATATCAATAGACATTTAGAGTATAGTGAATGTAGGGGGTTTTATTACTCACTCTATCATTTGAAAAGGACATGTATTGATGTGTATTTGCCATAATCCTCCTTAATCTTCAGAAGAGAGACAGAAAGCAAAAAAAGTTATTATTCTAAGAGTTAAATATTAACAATAGTATCAATCAGGGCACTAAAGGCCAATGGCTAATTTATTTAAACTTCAGTCTGAAACATCTCTTCCACAAGATACAGAGGTTACTATTATCATTCAACTAGGACAAAAAACGAATATTCCCCACAATAAAATAAAACAAATGTATAACACCATCTAGTTCAGGGGTTCCCTACCTAGGCGCGGGGAACTTCCTTTATTTGAGGGGTAACATTTATTTTTTAAATCTGAGATGCTTTATGCTAGAAACAAGCGGTAAAATGCCAGAGGAAGATGCGACTCTGATGCACATGGGAATATCTTTGGTTTGTCTATGACATTCAGAAGCTGAGCCATGACCTTCTAAAGTCGACTCTGTCGCTATAAATGGATCTATTTACTTTCTGTAAAAGAGAATATGTGTAATTAATTGCGGGTTCATATAAATTATAACAATAAAACATACGGTATTTGGTAGCGGAATAATTTAGGGAAATCAGGTCTACTTTATTTTCTTATCCATTATTATTATTACTATTATCATTAAATAGCCTACCTAAAAGATGCCATGAGTCTTGTTAAACTAGGAAGAATTGCAGGAAATTAGCTTCAAAACAACAAAATGTTCCTAGGTCCCTCAAATTAAACAAAATAAAGCTGGTGTGTTTAATATAGGCTATAGTGAAAAGGGGACCCTTGGGGAAAAGGTTGGGAACCCCTGCTCTAGATTATAATGAAAGATCTACACTACCAGTCAAAAGTTTGGACACACCTACTCATTCAAGGGTTTTTCTTTATTTGTACTATTCTTTAGTACAAATAACATATGTGTTATTTCAAAACTATGAAATAACACATATGGAATCATGTAGTAACCAAAAAAGTGTTAAACAAATCAAAATATATTTGAGATTTGAGATTCTTCAAAGTAACCACCCTTTGCCTTGATGACAGCTTTGCACACTCTTGGCATTCTCTCAACCAGCTTCATGAGGTAGTCACCTGGAATGCATTTCAATTAACTGATGTGCCTTGTTAAAAGTTAATTTGTGGAATTGATTTCCTTCTTAATGTGTTTGAGCCAATCAGTTGTGTTGTGACAAGGTGGTGGTGGTGGTGGGGGGGGGGGGGGGGGTATACAGAAGATAGCCCTATTTGATAAAAGACCAAGTCCATATTATAGCAAGAACAGCTCAAAGAAGCATGATGAAACTGGCTCTCATGAGGACCGCCACAGGAATGGAAGACCCAGTTACCTCTGCGGCCATATTTCCTGTATTGATCACATTAATATTCCGACATCCTGGGGAATGTTTGTAACCATTAAAATAGCTCTTTGTCTCCCCGAGGACCACATACAGTATTACTAAATGGTGGACATGCACAAAACAGATTGAATGACTACAGATTATTCCAGAAGCATCCAAGTAAATGGTCCTAGAATTTAAGCAACCTCTAAGCATATTCAGATCAGTAGTTTGATACAATCACAATTTGAGTTACTCTGATCTGTTCTTATACTGCTTATAATTGCTACATAGACTTGCAATTATACAATGTCTCTTTCAGGTTACATCATGGTGATTTAAAAGCTGCCATTCGTTTCCACTGTGTCTAACCATGCCTAATCAATGATCCAATCCCACACCACACAACGAATTACCCACTGCTCTGGAACTCAGTTCTCATTGGTAAATATAATGTCCAGATATTCAATTTGTTTATATTTGTCCACAGAATACATTAGCGTCATGGTGCCGTCTAGTTCCTGTGACTGTGCTTGAGAGGACTTAGCATACTGTGACAGAAACTGACATCCACTGACATGACAGACAATCTATCATTTAAGCCTCAAAACATTGTGATGGATGGCAGGAGAGAGAACAATCTCAATCTCTGAAGGAATGGATACTGAAAATGTTATAGATAAAATTGCTTAAACAATCTTTGCTATTGGGTTGTTCCATCAATTTGGTGCCTTTTGAGAAGTGTAATTTGGTTAAAAAGAATCCCATCTCAAGAGGTTAAATAAAAAAAGGACTATACAGTACCTTCAGAAATTCACACCCCTTGACTTTTTCCATATTTTGTTGTGTTACAGCCTGAATTTCAATGCAATTGATTAAATTTAGATTGTGGTTCACTGGCTTACACACAATACCCCTTAATGTCAAAGTGGAATTATGTTTTTAGAGATTTCTACAAATTAATAAAAAATGAAAAGTTGAAATGTCTTGAGTCAAAATGTGCTTAACAAGTCACATTATAAGTTGCAAGGACTCACGCTGAGTATAATAATAGTGTTTAACATGATTTTTGAATGACTACCTCATCTCTGTACCCCACACATACAATTACCTGTAAGGTCCCTCAGTCGAGCAGTGAATTTCAAACAGATTCGATCACAAAGACCAGGCAGGTTTTCCAATGCTTGCAAAGAAGGGCTAGGTGCAGAAAAAACAAATGCAGAAATTGAATATCCCTTTGAGCATGGTGAAGTTATTAATTACACTTTGGGTAGTGTATTAATACACCCAGTCACTACAAAGATACATGTGTCCTTCCTAACTCAGTTGCCGGAGAGGAAGGAAACCACTCAAGGATTTCACCATGAGGCCAATGGTAACTTTAAAACAGTTACAGAGTTTAATGGCTATGATAGGAGAAAACTGAGGATGGATCAACAACATTGTAGTTACTCCACAATACTAACCTAAATGATAGTGTGAAAAGAAGGAAGCCTGTACATAATACAAATATTCCAAAACATGCATCCTGTTTGCAATAAGGCACTTAAGTAAAACTGCCAAAAATAGGTCCTCAATACAAAGCATTATGTTTGGGGCAAATCCAACACAACACATCAGTACCGCCCTTCATATTTTTAAGAATGGTGGTGGCTGCATCATGTTATGGGTATTCTTGTAATTGGCAAGGAATAGGAAGCTTTTCAGGATAAAAATAAATGGAATAGAGATAAGCACAGGCAAAATCCTAGAGGAAAACCTGCTTCAGTCTGCTTTCCAACAGACACTGGGAGACAAATTCACCTTTCAGCAGGACAGTAACCTAAAACAGAAGGTCAAATATACACTGGAGTTGCTTACCAAGACGACATTGAATGTTCCTGAGTTACAGTTTTGACTTAAATTGGCTTGAAGATCTATGGCAAGACAACCAGAAGTTTGAAGAATTTTAAAAAGAATAATGTGCAAATATTGTACAATCCATGTCAGGATGAGCCTGCAGGACGGGTACCACATGAGGGAGGAGGTCTTCCCTGTAACGCACAGCGTTGAGATTGCCTGCAATGACAACAAGCTCAGTCCGATGATGCTGTGACACACCGCCCCAGACCATGACGGACCCTCCACCTCCAAATCGATTCCGCTCCAGAGTACAGGCCTCGGTGTAACGCTCATTCCTTCGACGATAAACGCGAATCGGACCATCACCCCTGGTGAGACAAAACCGCGACTCGTCAGTGAAGAGCACTTTTTGCCAGTCCTGTCTGGTCCAGCGACGGTGGGTTTGTGCCCATAGGCGACGTTGTTGCCGGTGATGTCTGGTGAGGAACTGCCTTACAACAGGCCTACAAGCCCTCAGTCCAGCCTCTCTCAGCCTATTGCGGACAGTCTGAGCACTGATGGAGGGATTGTGCGTGCCTGGTGTAACTCGGACAGTTGTTCTTGCCATCCTGTACCTGTCCCGCAGGTGTGATGTTCGGATGTATCGATCCTGTGCAGGGGTTGTTACATGCGGTCTGCCACCGCGAGGACGATCAGCTGTCCGTCCCGTCTCCCTGTAGCGCTGTCTTAGGCGTCTCACAGTACGGACATTGCAATTTATTGCCCTGGCCACATCTGCAGTCCTCATGCTTCCTTGCAGCATGCCTAAGACACGTTCACACAGATGAGCAGGGACCCTGGGCATCTTTCTTTTGGTGTTTTTCAGAGTCAGTAGAAAGGCCTCTTTAGTGTCCTAAGTTTTCATAACTGTGACCTTAATTGCCTATCGTCTGTAAGCTGTTAGTGTCTTAACGACCGTTACACAGGTGCATGTTCATTAATTGTTTATGGTTCATTGAACAAGCATGAGAAACAGTGTTTAAACGCTTTACAATAAAGATCTGTGAAGTTATTTGGATGTTTACGAATTATCTTTGAAAGACAGGGTCCTGAAAAAGGGACGTTTCTTTTTTTGCTGAGTTTATAAACAGGCTTTTAAAATGCAATATTGGTGCACAATTTCTACTTAAAATATCAAAATGGATGCAAAAGGCAATCTTTTCATGGAACAACCCAATTATTACTGATACTGATATGTGCTTAGCATGGCTACAAGATAATACATTCATTATAGACTAATTACAACCTAATTAAAATGAATCCACAAACTGTCAAAATAAATGTACAGTAGGATGTAGCATAAAATCACACAATGCAATCCTCTTTCTGCAGGAATTTCCCTTCATGGCCAAGACATCTAACTGTGCATGCTAAATCCAGTTTATTTTCGGTCAAGTGCTTTCCATAACAAATGCCCATTAGGGACAAAGGAAGTGCCAGAGAGCTCATTAACCCTGGGCTTGTCTCCAAGATACCGGTAGAAACCCCCCCAGACCACATCAACCTGGGTTACACTATTGAGACCGCTTGTCCCAAGAGATTACAAAATGTTTGGAATTATACAGAGACTCATTAAATTGAGAACGATGGTAGCTGAGCTTCTGGAATTCATTATAATTATGCCCCAGTCATGCTTATGCAGTGTTACTTTAAACATGCAAGCTCACACCATTTTTCAGTGGGTAAACATAATTGTCCTCTCTTTGTCCTTTTATGTTTGACACATGGACCACAGTTAATTTGGAACGGCAGTGACTGTGAATAAATTCACAATTCACAGCTTCAACGTTTTGTACAAATGTGCAGCAAGACAATGTGCCTACTGTCAGTAGTAGCCTTGCAATACTGTTCATTTTACATCAAGTGCTTTCCTCTGCACTGCACAGACATGAAAAGGTATAGCCTTTCCATCACAATGTGGAACTAGTGTGGGTTGGCCATGAGGGTTGCATCAGCTCTCGTCCTTTTAACTGCCCTCTCAACACTGACTGTGGAGAGACAAGCAAGCCCTTCTATCCTCAGCCATCTCTCTCAGCAAAAAAATCCCACTAAAAAAGAAAGACTAGTCTTTGAACTTCACTCTATAATTGCCAAGGCATGGGGAAAGCCTCACTCTACCACCAGCACCATCTTCAACCCCTCAGACGACAGACAAAATGGCATCCAGGACAAGCTGTAGTGTTGGCTGTAGTTTGTGCACTAATGAGAACATCTGTGTGGTACCCGGCAGAGTTAGCAACTGTCTCCTAGCGAAGGTGGCAGGCAGGCGGCGTGGGCAGGCAGCTGTTATTGTAAAAGTGGCAGTTTACACTGGCACAGAGGTTACATCAGCGTGGCACTAAAATAACTCTGCAGTCTGAAGGGGAATGAATACATTCTTAATGCCCAAAAAATGAAAATCTGAGCTGATTGACACTGCATTGATTTAGTAGCTAGGTGGTAAGCGTTGTAAAAGGTGATCTGTAGGTTGAAGGTTCAGCATATGTGAGGCTTACTGTACTAGAAGGTACTGTAGTACCCTTGAGAAATGTATGTAACCTTAATTGCTTCAGTTAATGTCATGCTGTCCTAGATAAGGGTGTATGAGAGGAAAATATTGTACAAGATCAAATGGAACAATGCTACCGCCTATTGGACATTTCTATGTTTTCACACAAAGTCTGAGTAACATATTATATAGCACGTATACAGGATTGTACTTTGTAGCATGAGAGCAAATAAGAAAAAAAACATGACAATTTATTTGTGACAGTGTCTCCTGTCTACAGTGTACATATATTATGTCACTTTCAGGACAGTCTCACATCGATACTGACTATATTTTGGCTAGCAGAGGAGCAGCCCCTGAGGACAACTACAAACTGGCAAAAAAGTGCAACTTGAGAAATGGAGCCAACTGGAAAAGACTTCAACCGGAAACTGGAGCCAAGTGGAAACATCAATATGCGAGTCAGAGTTTGAGCTTCAGGACAAAGGTGTAAACTGGGTTTAAGTTGCAGAGACGCGGGAATGAGAATACCAACTCCGAAACCACAGTCTTTCCCCACTCGGCCGACACAGAATTTATACCGATGCGAGCAAACCTAAAGTGACAGCATGTCAGCAGGAGAATCGCATATATGTCACGGTACTATGTCGTCCTGCATCTCCCCAATGTAAATCCATCTGTAATATGAGTCAGAGTCTCAGCTTCAGGACAAAGGTGTAGCAGCAGCAGCAATGTCTATTTCTCCTGGTTCCCTTCGCCTCCTGCTGGCCAGTTGACAGAGATGTGGTAGGGTTTCAGCTCGTCTTCAGAGACGAAATCTGGAGCACGACTCATCAGGTCATGGCCCCTGAATGATTTGGGGAAGGCAATCACGTCTCTGATGCTGGGGGCTCCGACGATAATAGACAGAAGGCGGTCCAAACCTAGAGGAAAAATGAACAAGGGATTTTAGTCAGGGGAAAGAAATTATGAATCACAAATGAGGTATTACATTTGGCTGCAGGAGGACAAGGGGCCTGGCCTACTTAGTTCTACTAAGTCTACTACTAAGATTCTGTAGAACATTTTACATTTTAATCATTTAGCAGACGCTCTTATCCAGAGCGACTTAGTTAAGTGAGTGCATACATTTTTCATAAATTTTTTCATACTGGCCCCCCGTGGGAATCGAACCCACAACCCTGGCGTTGCAAGCGCCATGCACTACCAATTGAGCTACACGGGGCATAGAACAAAATGGTGAAATATGAAAGCATGAGAAACGCAAAGCTGAGTGTGTCTGGTGTCAGTTATGATGGTTATTATGGCTGACTTACCCAATGCAATCCCACCATGAGGGGGAGCCCCAGAGTCCAGTGCCTCTAACAGGTGAGAAAGGAGAGATGGATCCTCCTGAAAGACAGAACAAAGTCAGGGGGTTTCCTAACTCTACAGAGGGATTCACTAAGTCTGCCCTTTTTTATTCATCGCTAAGCTGGAAGGATTATGACAGTAGAATCTATCCTACAGCTACAGTAGTAAATACTGTCTTATTACCAGTGATAATAAATATTACAGACTGACCTTGCAGCAAGCTAGGAGAACATGCACCTCAGAAACTTGCAGCTAGAGGCAGCAACAATATGAGCACTGTGATTCCCGATCCTAATCAGTTGTTTATTTTGAAAAGCTATAATTTCGGTACTAAATCAAATCACATTTTATTGGTCACATGTGCCGAATACAACAGGTGTAGACTTCACTGTGAAATGCTTGATTACGAGCCCATTCCCAACAATGCAGAGTTAAAAAGTAAGAAAGATATTTGCTAAATAAAAAGGGAAATAGTAACAATAAAATAACATGGCTATATACAAGGAGTACCAGTACTGATCAATGTGCAGTGGTACAAGGTAATTGAGGTAATACAGTATGTACAGTGAGGGAAAAAAGTATTTGATCCCCTGCTGATTTTGTACGTTTGCCCACTGACAAAGAAAAGATCAGTCTATAATTTTAATGATAGGTTTATTTGAACAGTGAGACAGAATAACAAAAAAAAATCCAGAAAAACACATGTCAAAAATGTTATAAATTGATTTGCATTTTAATGAGGGAAATAAGTATTTGACCCCTCTACAAAACATGACTTAGTACTTGGTGGCAAAACCCTTGTTGGTACATGGCCCCGTCCATCGTCCCTTTGATGCGGTGAAGTTGTCCTGTCCCCTTAGCAGAAAAACACCCCCAAAGCATAATGTTTCCACCTCCATGTTTGACGGTGGGGATGGTGATCTTGGGGTCATAGGCAGCATTCCTCCTCCTCCAAACACAGCGAGTTGAGTTGATGCCAAAGAGCTCCATTTTGGTCTCATCTGACAACAACACTTTCACCCAGTTCTCCTCTGAATTATTCAGATGTTCATTGGCAAACTTCAGACGGGCATGTATATGTGCTTTCTTGAGCAGGGGGACATTGCGGGCGCTACAGGATTTCAGTCCTTCACGGCATAGTGTGTTACCAATTGTTTTCTTGGTGACTATAGTCCCAGCTGCCTTGAGATCATTGACAAGATCCTCCCGTGTAGTTTTGGGCTGATTCCTCACCGTTCTCATGATCATTGCAACTCCACGAGGTGAGATCTTGCATGGAGCCCCAGGCCGAGGGAGATCGACCGTTTTTTGTGTTTCTTCCATTTGCGAATAATCGCACCAACTGTTGTCACCTTCTCACCAAGCTGCTTGGCGATGGTCTTGTAGCCCATTCCAGCCTTGTGTAGGTCTACAATCTTGTCCCTGACATCCTTGGAGAGCTCTTTGGTATTGGCCATGGTGGAGAGTTTGGAATCTGATTGATTGATTGCTTCTGTTATTCTGTCTCTCACTGTTCAAATGAACCTACCATTAAAAGTATAGACTGATCATGTCTTTGTCAGTGGGCAAACGTACAAAATCAGCAGGGGATCAGATACTTTTTTCCCTCACTGTATATATATATATATACACACACACACACACACACACACACACACACACACACACACACACATATATATATATATATATATATATATATATCTGTGGAAAGAATTAAGAGACCACTGGAAATATGTAGGACAGCCATTCCATTCCAGTGTCTGTTGAATTCCAACACAGGCACACGTCATTCTACAGAATTAGGTACTGATTAGGTGATCACATGAACCAAATCTTATTTAACGAGGAAAAGTATAAAAAACAATGCTGTGGTCATCACTATCCTCTTGCAATAGGACCAGCTGGATGGCAAAAACAGTGCTAATAGTACCTCAAAAGTAATATTAATCAAAAAATAACTATTGACCATGCTAAAAGAGTTGAAAAGGAAAGTTTTGAGTGAGGAAAAGAAGGGTTCAATTCTGGCTTTACTGGCAGAGGATACAGTGAGTGTCAGGTTGCTTCCATCCTTAAAATGTCAAAGACGGCGGTTCATAAGAACAAGGTCAAGCAGCAGACATTGGGGACAACAAAGCTACAGACCGGCAGAGGGCGAAAACGACTCTCTACTGACCGGGATGACGCCAACTTATTCGAATGTCACTCAACAACCGTAGGATGACATCAAGTGACCTACAAAAAGAATGGCCAACGGCAGCTGGGGTGAAGTGCACGGCGAGGACGGTTCAAAACAGGCTCCTAGGGGCAGGGCTGAAGTCGTGCAAAGCTAGAAAAAAGTACTTCATCAATGAGAAGCAAAGAAGAGCCAGGCTGAGGTTTGCAAAATACCATAAGGATTGGACTGTAGAAAGGTCATCTTCTCTGATGAGTCCAATTTTCAGCTTTGCCCAACACCTGGTCGTCTAAATGGTTAGACGGAGACCTGGAGAGGCCTACAAGCCACAGTGTCTCGCACCCACTGTGAATTTTGGTGGAGGATCGGTGATGATCTGGGGGTGCTTCAGCAAGGCTGGAAGCGGACAGATTTGTCTTTGTGAAGGACGCATGAATCAAGCCACGTACAAGGTTGTCCTGGAAGAAAACTTGCTTCCTTTTGCTCTGACATTGTTCCCCAACTCTGAGGATTGGTTTTTCCAGCAGGACAATGTGCCATGCCACACAGCCAGGTCAATCAATGTGTGGATGGAGGACCACCAGATTTTGGCGAAAACCAAACTCTGCATTCCACAGTAAGCACATCATACCAAAGGTCAAGCATGGTGGTGGTGGTGTGATGGTTTGGGTATGCTTTGCTGCCTCAGGACCTGGACGACTTGCCTTAATAGAAGGAACCATGAATTCTGCTCTGTATCAGAGAATTCTACAGGAGAATGTCAGACCATCCGTCTGTGAGCTGAAGCGCAGCTGGGTCATGCAGCAAGACAATGATCCAAAACACACAATCTAGTCTACAGGAAAATTGCTAAAAAGCAACAAATTGGAAGTTTTGGAATGGCCTAGTCAAAGTCCAGACCTAATCCCAATTGAGATGTTGTGGCAGGACTTGAAACGAGCAGTTCATGCTTGAAAACCCACGTCACTGAGTTAAAGCAGTTCTGCATGGGCCAAAATTCCTCCACAGCGACGTGAGAGACTGATCAACAACTACAGGAAGCATTTGGTTGGAGTCATTGCAGCTAAAGGTGGCACAACCAGTTATTGAGTGTAAGGGGGCAATAACTTTGTTATTGTAATTGTTGTGTTATTTGTTCACTTATGGTTCCCTTTATCTAATATTAGGTTCTGATAACATTCAGTATCACAAATATGTAAAAGTAGAGAAAATTAGAAAGGGGGCAAATACTTTTTCATAGCACTGTATATAGTTTTTGTACTTTAACCCCTTTTTCTCCCCAATGTCATGATATCCAACTGGTAGTTACAGTCTTGTCCCATCGCTGCAACTCTCCTACGGACTCGGGAGAGGCGAAGGTCGAGAGCCATGCGTCCTCTGAAACAGAACCCTGCCAAGCCGCACTGCTTCTTGACACACTGCTCGCTTAACCCGGAAGCTAGCCGCCAAAAGGAGTCGCTAGAACGCGATGGGACAAGGAAATCCCAGCTGGCCAAACCCTCCCCTGACCAGGACGACGCTGGGCCAATTGTGCGCCGCCTCATGGGTCTCCCAGTCACGGCCGGCTGTGAGACAGCCTGGGATCGAACCCGGGTCTGTAGTGAAGCCTTGAGCCCTGCGATGCAGTGCCTTAGACCCCAGTGCCTCAACCCCCTGAGTCAATATATGTTGCGAGTCTTTCTGGATAAGTATCTAAGAGCTTGCCACACCTGGAGGTACTGACCTGTTGCACCCTCTACAACCACTGTGATTATTATTTGACCCTGCTGGTCATCTATGAAGGTTTGAACATCTTGAAGAACAATCTGGCCTTAATGGCCATGTACTCTTATAATCTCCACCCGGCACAGCCAGAAGAGGACTGGCCACCCCTCAGAGCCTGGTTCCTCTCTAGGTTTCTTCCTAGATTCCTGCCTTTCTAGGGAATTTTACCTAGTGACCGTGCTTCTACATCTGCATTGCTTGCTCCTTGGGGTTTTAGGCTGGGTTTCTGTATAGCACTTTGTGACATCTGCTGATGTAAAAAGGGCTTTTTAAATAAATGTGATTGATTGATTGATTGTGCAACATTACTTTTTTCAAAATTCTTAAAGCTCTGTCAAATTGGTTGTTGATCATTGCTAGACAACCATTTTCAGGTCTTGCCATAGATTTTCAAGCAGATTTAAGTCAAAACTAACTCGGCCACTCAGGAACATTCACCGTCTTCTTGGTAAGCAACTCCAGTGTATATTTGCCCTTGTGTTTTAGGTTATTGTCCTGCTGAAAGGTGAATTCATCTCCCAGTTTCTGGTGGAAAGCAGACTGAACCAGGTTTTCCTCTAGGATTTTGCCTGTGCTTAGCTTCATTCCGTTTCTTTTTTAAACTGAAAAACTCCCCAGTCCTTAACGACTACAAGCATACCCATAACATGATGCAGCCACCACTATGCTTGAAAATATGGAGAGTGGTACTCAGCAATGTGTTGTATGGGATTTGCCCCAATCATAACACCTTGTATTCAGGACAAAAAGTTAATTGCTTTGCCAAATGTTTTGCAGTATTACTTTAGTGCCTTGTTGCAAACAGGATGCATGTTTTGGAATATTTATATTCTGTACAGGCTTCCTTATTTTCACTCTGTCAATTAGGGTAGTAATCAAATCAAATGTTATTTGTCACATATACATGTTTAGCAGATGTTATAGCGGGTGTAGCAAAATGCTTGTGCTTCTAGCTCCGACAGTGCAGTAATATCTAATGTGGAGTCATCCTCAGTTTTCTCCTATCATAGCCATTAAAAACTCTAACTGCTTTAAAGACACAAATGGCCTCATGGTGAAATCCTTGAGTGGTTTCCTTTCTCACAGGCAACTGAGTTATGAAGGACACCTGTATCTTTGTAGTGACTGGGTGTATTGATCCACCATCCAAAGTGTAAATAATAACTGCACCATGCTCAAAGGAATATTCAATGTCTGCTTTTTTTATTTTTACCCATCTACCAATAGGTGCCCTTCTTTGCAAAGCATTGGAAAACCTCCCTGGTCTGTGTGGTTGAATCTGTGTTTGAAATTCACTGCTCGACTGAAGGACCTTACAGATAATTGTATGTGTGGGGTAGAGAGATGAGGTAGTCATTCAAAAATCCTGTTTTAAAATTATTGGACACAGAGTGAGTCCATGCAACTTATTATGTGACTTGTTAAGCACATTTTTACTCCTGAACTTATTTAGGCTTGCCATAACAAAGGGGTTGAATACTTTCAGCTTTTCATTTTTAATAAATGTGTAAAGGTTTCACTTTGACATTATGGGGTATTGCGTGTAGGCCAGTGACAACATATCTCAATTTAATACATTTTAAATTCAGGCTGTAACAAGACAAAATGTGGTTCAGCAATCTTACGGCTTGGGGATAGAAGCTGTTCAGGAGCCTTTTGATCCCAGACTTGCGCTCCGGTACTCCTTGCCGTGCGGTAGCAAAGAGAACAGTCTATGACTTGGGTGGCTAGAGTTTGACAATTTTTAAGCCTTCCTCTGACTCCGCCTGGTATAGAGCTCCTGGATGGCAGGGAGTTCAGCCCCAGTGATGTACTGGGCCATACACACTACCCTCTGTAGCGCCTTGCATTCAGATGCCGAACAGTTGCCATACCAAGCGGTGATGCAGCCAGTCAAGATGCTCTCAATGGTGGAGCTGTAGAACTTTTTGATGATCTGAGGGCACATCCAAATCTTTTCAGCCTCCTGAGGGGGTAGAGGTGTGGTGTGCATGCGGAGGAACTTAAAGCTCTCGACCCGCTCCACTACAGCCCTGTCGATGTGAATGGGGGCGTGTTCGGCCCTCAGTTTCCTGTAGTCCATGATAAGCTCCTTTGTCTTGCCCATGTTGAGGGAGAGGTTCTTGTCCTGGAACCACCCTGCAAGGTCTCTGACCTCCTCCCTATAGGCTGTCTCCTCGTCGTCTGTGATCAGGCCAACCACCGTCGTGTCGTCTGCAAACTTAATGATGTTGGAATCATGCGTGGCCAAGCAGTTGTGGGTGAACTGGGAGTACAGCAGGGGACTGAGCACGCACCACTGAGGGACCCTGTGTTGAGGGTCAGTGTTGCGGATATGTTGTTGCCTACCCTCACCACCTGGGGGGCGGCCCGTCAGTATGTCCAGGATCCAGTTTCAGAGGAAGGTGTTCAGGCCCAGGCTCCTTAGCTTAGTGATAATCTTGGAGGGCACTACGGTGTCGAACACTGAGCTGTAGTCAATGAACAGTCATCTCACGTAGGTGTATCATTTATCCAGGTGGGAAAGGGCAGTGTGGAGTGCAATAGAGATTGCGTCATCTGTGGCTCTGTTGGGGCGATATGCGAAATTTGAGTGGGTTCAGGGTTTCTGGAATGATGGTGTTGATGTGAGCTATGACCAGCCTTTCAAAGCATTCCATGGCTACAGATGTGAGTGCTATGAGGCGGTAGTCATATAGACAGGTTATCTTGGCGTTCTTGGGCACAGGGACTATGGTGGTCTGCTTGAAACATGTAGATATTACAGACTGAGTCAGGTTGAAAATGTCAGTGAAGACACTTACCTGCTGGTCAGCGCATGCGCCGAGTACGCGTCCTGATAATCCGTCTGGCCCTGCGGCCTTGTGAATGTTAACCAGTTTAAAGGTCTTACTCATATCGGTTACGAAGAATGCGATCATACAGTCGTCTGGAACAGCTGGTGCTCTCATGCATGGTTCAGTGTTCCTTGCCTCAAAGCGAGCATAGAAGGCATTTAGCTCGTCTGGTAGGCTTGCGTCACTGGGCAGCTCTCAGCTAGGTTTCCCTTTGTAATCTGTGATAGTTTGCAAGCCCTGCCACATTCAACGAGCGTCAGAGCCGGTGTAGTAGGATTTGATCTTAGTCCTGTATTGACGCTTTGCCTGTTTGATGGTTCGTCGGAGGGCGTAGCGGAATTTCTTATAAGCATCCGGATTAGTGTCCCGCTCCATGAAAGTGGCAGCTCTAGCCTTTTGCTCAGTGTGCGGATGTTGTTGGTAATCCATGGCTTCTGGTGGGGATATGTACGTACGGTCACTGTTGGGACTACGTCGTCAATGTACTTATTAATGAAGCCGGTGACTGATGTGGCAAGCTCCTCAATGCCATCGGATGAATCCTGGAACATATTCCAGTCTGTGCTAGCGAAATAGCCCTGTAGCTTAGCATCCACTTCCGTATTGAGCCCGTCACTGGTACTTCCTGTTTGAGTTTTTGCTTGTAAGCAGGAATCAGGAGGATAGAGTTATGGTCAGATTAGCCAAATGGAGCCAAATGCACAGGTGACATGCTGGTAGAAATGAGGTAAAACAGATTTCAATTTTCCTGCATTAAAATCACCGGCCACCAGGAGCGCTGCCTCTGGATAAGCATTTTCTTGTTTGCTTATGGCTCTATACAGCTCGTTGAGTGCAGTCTTAGTGCCAGCACCAGTTTGGTCTGGTAAATAGACAGCTACGAAAAATACAGATAAACTCTCTTGATAAATAGTATGGTCTACAGCTTATCATGAGGTATTCTAAATCAGGAAAGTAGAACCTCGAGACTTTCTTAATATTAGAGATCGTGTACCAGCTATTGTTGACAAAGAGACACACCCCACCCCCCCCCGATCTTACCGGACTCTGCCGTTCTGTCCTGCCGATGGAGCTAGATGTACACTATCTATACAAAAGTATGTGGACACCCCTTGAAATTAGTGGATTCGGCTATTTTTAGCCACACCCGTTGATGACAGGTGTATAAAATCGAGCACACAGCCATGCAATCTCCATAGACAAACATTGGCAGTATAATGGCCTTACTGAAGAGCTCAATGACTTTCAACATGGCACTGTCAGAGGATGCCACCTTTCCAACAAGTCAGTTGGTCAAATTTCAGCTTTGCTGGAGCTAACCCGGCCAACTGTAAATTATGTTATTGTGAAGTGGAAACGTCTAGGAGAAACAACGGTTTAGCCGCGAAGTGGTAGGCCACACAAGCTCACAGAACGGGACAGCGGAGTGCTGAAGCGCGTAAAAATTGTCTATGCTCGGTTGCAACACTCACTACTGAGTTCCAAACTGCCTCTGGAAGCAACGTCAGCACAATAACTATTTGTCGGGAGTTTCATGAAATGGGTTTCCATGGCTGAGCAGCCACACACAAGCCTAAGATCACCATGCGCAATGCTAAGGCGTCAGCTGGAGTGGTGTGAAGCTCGCCGCCATCAGACTCTGAAGCAGTGGAAACGCGTTCTCTGGAGTGATGAATCACACTTCACCATCTGGCAGATCGACTGACAAATCTGAGTTTGGCGGATGCCAGCAGAACGCTTCCAGCCCAAATGCATAGTGCCAACTGTAAAGTTTGGTGTAGGAATAATGGTCTGGGACTGTTTTTCATGGTTCGAGCTAGGCACCTTAGTTCCAGTGAAATGAAATATTAATGCTACACCATACAATGACATTCTAGAGGATTCTGTGCTTCCAACTATGTGGCAACAAAGGCCCTTTCCTGCATGACAATGCCCCCGTGCACAAAGTGAGGTCCATACAGGTTTGTCGAGATCGGTGTGGAAGAGCTTAACTGGCCTGCACAGAGCTCTGACCTCAACCTCATCTAACACCTTTGGGATGAATTGGAACGCGGACTGCGAACCAGGCCTAATCGCCCAACATCAGTGCCCAACCTCACGAATGCTCGTGGCTGAATGGAAGCAAGTCCCCGCAGCAATGTTCCTACATCTAGTGGAAAGCCTTCCCAGAAGAGTGGAGGCTGTTATAGCAGCAAAGGATTAACCAACCTCATATTAATGCCCATGATTTTGGAATGAGATGTTCGACAAGCAGGTGTCAACATACTTTTGGTCATGTAGTGTATATTATCCATGTCCTTGTTCAGCCATGACTCTGAGAAGCATAGCATATTACAGTTCTTTATGTCCCGTTTGATAGGATAGTCTCGAACTGAGCTCATCCAGTTTATTCTCCAGCGATTGCACATTCGTCAATAGAACAGAGGGTAGATGCGATTTATTCACTCACCGCTGTAGACTCATCAGGGTGCACACGCGCCGGCCTCTATAGCGCCGTCTCCTCCTCCAACGAGTGTCAGGGATTTGGACCTGGTCCGGAAAAATCTATATGTCTTTCGCCTCCGACCCATTGAAGTCCTCGTCTAAATCGAGGTTAGTGATAGCTGTTCTGATGTCCAGAAGCTCTTTTCGGTCATAGGAAACGATGGCGGAAACATTATGTACTAAAGGTTACGATCAGCGCCCCCAAAAAATACACAAAAGAGCACAATTGGTCAGGAGCCCGTAAAACGTCTGCTTTCCAATGCAGCGCCTTTCGAAATACGGTATACTAATGGTAACTGTGCTTGCATATCCTCCTCAGCCTGATATAAATGACTGTGTGTTTGGGAAATCAGTATTCTGGTACTCTTACTTATCCAGTCCAAGTTCATTACCTTGAGGATCGTCTCCAACACATGCTGCTGATCAGAGGCCTTGTGAATACGAATGGATCCTCCTCCAACCTCACACCCGTTCAGGACCAGGTCATAATGCTGGCCACGTACCTGCCATATTGACACAGGAGAAATAGATGAATGATATGGTCTCAGTGCATAGGAAGTAACAGTACAGGATACTCTGATGTAAAGTTTGTTTATATTGATAGACTGATTTATGGTGAGTAGTTTACACTAATAAATACATTTTATTATTAGTTTTACTTGAATACATCGTTTTGAATTTCGAAACTTCTTGTTTGGACCACATCCAGGTTGGAAATAGCACAGTGACAGCTATGTCCGACAACACTTTCTTTAAGAGTTTTCTATTTGTACCAAACAGCAAGGAAGGGCACAGAAACAAGCTGATGAGAGGGTTCTTCTCTATAAATATGTGCCCAAGGAGAAAACCCTCCTCCTACTGTATATGACCCTAACCTTGTGAGGCTGTGAATACAGGAGATGAGTATCCTCAAGGAGAGGTGCAGTGAAAGGATGGTGGGCTGACTCAAGCTGATCAGGGTCCTCTTCTTTTGGCAGGAACAGTGGGAAGTCTACCACCCACAGAAAGTGAAACGCTGAGGGGTCTCGAACAGCCACACCGGAGCCCTCTAGGAGTTCAGCACACTGAAGCCTCAACTTGCCCAACAAAGGGCGCTGTGGGAGGAAATCATGGAAATCAGGAGAGTGAAAGCTGCATTCACCGTGAAAAACTGACGTAAAGCAATGTAAAAGGTTGTTCTGTGTTGTTCATGTCAAAAACATTGTTTATTTTCAGAATGCACTGGCTTTCAACTGCTTGGTCACAAAAGCCTCTGACGCCTGACAATTGACTATTGCATGGGTGGATTTGACACACCTCTTCGCTTTCTTCTATTCTGACATTTGATTGCAATTCCTTCCACATCCTTTAGACAAAAGTACACTATTGCTCCACAGCTACAGTGTCTTCAGAAAGTATTCATACCCCTTGACTTATTCCACATTTTGTGGTGTTACAGCCTGAATTCAAAATGGATTGAATTAATTTTTTTCCTCTACCATCTACACACAATATCCCATTATGACAGTGAAAACATGTTTTTAGAAAATGTAGAATGATCTAATTTACATACAGTACCAGTCAAAAGTTTGGACACACCTACACATTCAAGGGTTTTTCTTTATTTTTACTTTATTTTTTCTACTGTGTAGAATAATAGCGAAGACGTCAAAACTATGACATAACACATATGGAATCATGTAGTAACCAAAAAAGTGTAAAAAAAAAAAATCCAAATATATATTTGAGATTCTTCAAAGTAGCCACCCTTTGCCTTGATGACAGCTTTAAACACTCTTGGCATTCTCTCAACCAGCTGGAACCTGGAATGCTTTTCCAACAGTCTTGAAGGAGTTCCCACATATGCTGAGCACTTGTTGGCTGCTTTTCCTTCACTCTGCGGTCTAACTCATCCCAAACCATCTCAATTGGGTTGAGGTCGGGTGATTGTGGAGACCAGGTCATCTGATGTAGCACTCCATCACTGTCTTTCTTGGTAAAATAGCCCTTACACAGCCTGGAGGTGTGTTGGGTCATTGTCCTGTTGAAAAACAAATGATAGTCCCACTAAGCCCAAACCAGATGGGATGGCGTATCACTGCAGAATGCTGTGCTAGCCATGCTGGTTAAGTGTGCCTTGAATTCTAAATAGATCACAGACAGTGTCACCAGCAAAGCACCCCCACACCATCACACCTCTTCTTCCATGCTTCACGGTTGGAACTATACTCCCGAGTGGCGCAGTGGTCTAAGGCACTGCATCGCGGTTCGAATACAGGCTCTGTCGTAGCCGGCCGCGACCGGGAGACCCATGGGGCGGCGCACAATTGGCCCAGTGTCATCCAGGGTAGGGGAGGGAATGGCTGGCAGGGATGTAGCTCAGTTGGTAGAGCATGGCGTTTGCAACGCCAGGGTTGTGGGTTCGATTCCCACGGGGGGCCAGTATGAAAAATAAAAAATAATGTATGCACTCACTAACTGTAAGTCGCTCTGGATAAGAGCGTCTGCTAAATGACTAAAATGTAAATGTAAAAATGTATACATGTGGAGATCATCCGTTCACCTACACTGCGTCTCACAAAGACACAGCAGTTGGAACCAAAAATCTCCAATTTGGACTCATCAGTCCAAAGGACAGATTTCCACCGGTCTAATGTCCATTGGTCATGTTTCTTGGCCCAAGCAAGTCTTTTCTTCTTATTGGTGTCCTTTAGTAGTGGTTTCTTTGCAGCAATTCGACCATGAAGGCCTGATTCACGCAGTCTCCTCTGAGCAGTTGATGTTGAGATGTGTCTGTTACTTGAACTCTATTAAGTATTTATTTGGGCTGCAAGTTCTGAGGCTGGTAACTCTAATGAACTTATCCTCTGCAGCAGAGGTAACTCTGGGTCTTCCTTTCTTGTGCCGGTCCTCATGAGAGCCAGTTTCATCATAGCGCTTGATGGTTTTTGCGACTGCACTTGAAGAAACTTTAAAAGTTCTTGAAATGTTCCGGATTGACTGACCTTTATGTCTTAAAAGTAATGATGGACTGTCGTTTCTCTTTGCTTCTTTGAGCTGTTCTTGCCATAATATGGACTTGGTCTTTTACCAAATAAGGCTATCTTCTGTATACCACCCCTACCTTGTCACAACACAACTGATTGGCTCAAACGCATTAAGAAGGAAAGAAATTCCACAAATTAACTTTTAACAAGGCACACCTGTTAATTGAAATGCATTCCAGGTGACTACCTCATGAAGCTGGTTGAGAGAATGCCAAGAGTGTCCAAAGCTGTCATCAAGGCAAAGGGTGGCTATTTGAAGAATCTCAAATATAAAATATATTTTGATTTGTTTAACACTTTTTTGGTTACTACATGATTCCATATGTGTTATTTCATAGTTTTGATGACTTCACTATTATTCTACATGTAGAAAATAGTAAAAATATAGAAAAACCCTTGAATGAGTAGGTGTGTCCAAACTTTTGACTGGTACTGTACGTATTCACATCCCTGAGTCAATACATGTTAAACTACCCTTGGCAGCGATTACAACTGTGAGTCTTTCTGGGTAAGTCTATAAGAGCTTTCCACACCTGGATTGTACAATATTTGCACATTATTCTTTTTAAAGTTCTTAATCTGTGAAGTTGGTTGTTGATCATTGCTAAACAGCCATTTTCAAGTCTTGCCATAGATTTTCAAGCTGATTTAAGTCAAAACTGTAACTAGGCCACTCAGGAACATTCAATGTCGTCTTGGTAAGCAACTTCAGTGTATATTTGGCCTTGTGTTTTAGGTTATTGTCATGGTGAAAGGTGAATTTGACTCCCAGTGTCTGTTAGAAAGCAGACTGAACAAGGTTTTCCTCTCGGAAATTGCCTGTGCTTAGCTCTATTCTATTTATTTTTATCCTAAAAAACACACCCTAGTCCCTGCTGATGACAAGCATACCCATAACATGATGCAGCCACCACCATGCTTGAAAATATGAAGTGGTACTCAGTGATGTGTTGTGTTGGATTTGCCCCAAACATAACACTTTGTATTTAGGACATAAAGAGAATTTGTTTGCCAATTTCTTTGCAGTTTCACTTTAGTGCCTTCTTGCAAACAGGATGCATGTTTTGGAATATTTTTTATTCTGTAGAGACTTACTTCTTTTCACGCTGTCATTTATGTTAGTATTGTGGAGTAAATACAATGTTGTTGATCCATCCTCAGTTTTCTCCTATCACAGCCATTAAACTCTGTAACCGTTTTAAAGTCACTATTGGCCTCATGGTGAAATCCCTGAGCGGTTTCCTTCCTCTCCGGCAACTGAGTTAGGAAGGACGCATGTATCTTTGTAGTGACTGGGTGTATTAATCCACCATCCAAACTGTAATTAATGACTTTACCATGCTCAAAGAGATTTTTAATGTCTGCTTGTAAAAAATGGTTTATCCATCTACCAATAGGTGCCCTTCTTTGCGACGCATTGGAAAACACCCCTGGTCTTTGTCGTTGAATCTGTGTTTGAAATTCATTGCTTGACTGAGGGACCTTGCAGATAACTTTATGTGTGGGGTACAGAGATGAGGTAGTCATTCAAAAATCATGTTAAACACTATTATTGCACACAGTGAGTCCATGCAACTTATGTGACTTGTTAAGCACATTTTTACTCATGAACTTGTTTTGGCTTGCCATAACAAAAGAGTTGAATACCTATTGACTAAAATTTCAGCTTTCATTAATTAAGTATAATATAAATATAATTCCACTGACATTATGGGGTTTGTGTGTAGGCCAGTGATACCTCTCAATATAACATCTCAATATAATCAATTTTGAATTCAGGCTGCAACACAACAAAATGTGGAGCAAGTCAAGGGGTGTGAATACATTCCGAAGACACTGCATATGAAATACCTTTTCATTTGAACAAAACAACCATCATTTTTGGTATATCATCTGCACCCAGGCCCAATGACGCATTTGAGAAAAAATAAAAACATTTCAAGCTTTTAATTCTGAAAAATAAGACAAATCAAACCTTGCAGTGTGTTGTGTGTATGAATTATACTGTGCTACTGATTTCGGTTCATAGCAAAGCGATCAACCTCAAAGCACTGACCACCACATCACTCATTTCGACCAATAGGGCTAACTTTGAAACTGTTCCATGATGGTTATCTTTAATTGGGGTGAGGTATGCACCCTATTCCCTACATAGTGCACTACTTTTGACCAGAGCCCTATGGGCCCCGGTCAATAGTAGTCCACTATATAGGCAGGATGCCATTTGGGACACAGCCAGGGTGACCAAATCAGATTGTAACTCACCACACATTCCTGCGTCCCAGCAGAGATGAGCAGCAGGTCCCCAGGTCTGGCCTGTGCCATCTGGAGCAGCTGCTGTTTAGCTGAGGCAGGCATGAGTCGGTTGAGGGGAGACTTCAATGCACCATCTGCCTTCACCAAAACTACACTCACTTCCTAGGAGAAAAAGAAAAAAAAGACACAAAAAAAATACCAGGCTTAATTGGCATACCTCTGATGCAGCTAGCCTCCGGGCATGGCGCCGACAGACTTGAATGCCAAGCAGTCATCGGGTTTTCATATCTCTCTAACCATGAATTGCTAAACCAAATAAATCATTAGTCGTAATGGAGTCACAAATTAGTTGTGTGTTTATCAATCATCTCACTTCGTTATAAAAGGGGGTCCTACAAGATTTTCAGGATTGCACAACTCTAGAATTGGTGAGGTCTACCCTCGCCTCAGGGCAATTACACCATGTGCTTCGTTCAACATTTTCTTCAGTCATCTTGTCTTATTGATCATATTCCAGATTAATATTCATGAAGACAGTCTGTTTTCTTTTGCTGAGTGTACTGTAAAAGCAGCAGGGGGTTTTAAAGCGTGAGGTTACATACCTGGCCGAACTGGGTCCTGGCAGTTTGTTTCAGGGATTCGTGATCTTTGCTCTTCAAATGTTTCTGGAGTGAAATAAAGAACACATATGTCCTATACAAAGTCGATACCCCCTTAAACTCTTTTCACATTTTGTTGTGTCAGTGCCTCAGAGTTTCATGCATTTAAATAAGGATCCCCACCACTTATCTACCACCATACACAAATTATAAATATTTAAAATACTAAACTGAAATATCATAAATTGGATAAGTCTCCACCCCCCTGAGTCAATGCTTGGTGGAAGCACCTTTGGCAGCAATTACAGCTGTGATTAGGTCTCTGCCAACTTCTGCATGTCCTGCAGGCTCTAGTTTTGTCTTATCTTATTGTCCAGTCATGTGGTTAAATGCTGCAAAGAAAGACCTAGTTAAGCTGCAGCTGGCCCAGAAACGAGTGGCACGTCTTGCTCTTCATTGTAATCAGAAGGCTAATATAAATAATATGCATGCCAGTCTCTCCTGGCTAAGAGTTGAGGAGAGTGACTGCATCACTTATTTTTATAAAGAAACAATGTGTTGAAAATTCCAAATTGTTTACATAGTCAACTTATACACGGCTCTGACACACACACTTACCCCACTAGACATGGTCCTCTGTAGCTCAGCTGGTAGAGCACGGCGCTTGTAACGCCAAGGTAGTGGGTTCGATCCCCGGGACCACCCATACACAAAAAAATGTATGCACGCATGACTGTAAGTCGCTTTGGATAAAAGCGTCTGCTAAATGGCATATTATATTATTTATTATTAATATATATATATATGCCACCAGGGGTCATTTCACAGTCCCAAAATCCAGATCAAATTCAAGAAGGCGTACAGTATTACACTACCGGTCAAAAGTTTTAGAACACCTACTCATTCAAGGGTTTTTCTTTATTTTTACTATTTTCTACATGTAGAATAATAGTGAAGTCATCAAAACTATGAAATAACACATATGGAATCATGTAGTAACCAAAAAAAGTGTTAAACAAATCAAAATATATTTTATATTTGAGATTCTTCAAAGTAACCACCCTTTGCCTTGATGACAGCTTTGCACACTCTTGGCATTCTCTCAACCAGCTTCATGAGGTAGTCACCTGGAATGCATTTCAATTTAAATTAACAGGTGTGCCTTGTTAAAAGTTAATTTGTGGAATTTCTTTCCTTCTTAATATGTTTGAGCCAATCAGTTGTGCTGTGACAAGGTAGGGGGGATATACAGAAGATAGCCCTATTTGGTAAAAGACCAAGTCCATATTATGGCAAGAACAGCTCAAATAAGCAAAGAGAAACGACAGTCCATTACTTTACGACATGAAGGTCAGTCAATACGGAAAATTAAGAACTTTGAAAGTTTCTTCAAGTGCAGTCACAAAAACCATCAAGTGCTATGATGAAACTGGCTCTCATGAGGACCGGCACAGGAATGGAAGAGTTACCTCTGCTGCAGAGGATAAGTTCATTAGAGTTACCAGCCTCAGAAATTGCAGCCCAAATAAATGCTTCACAGAGTTCAAGTAACAGACACATCTCCACAACAACTGTTCAGAGCAGACTGTGTGAATCAGGCCTTCATGGACGAATTGCAGCAAAGAAACCACTACTAAAGGACACCAATAAGAAGAAGAGACTTGCTTGGGCCAAGGAACACAAGCAATGGACATTAGACCGGTGGAAATTTGTCCTTTGGTCTGGAGTCCAAATTTGAGATTTTTGGTTCCAACCGCCGTGTCTTTGTGAGACGCGATGTGGGTGAACGGATTATCTCCGCATGTGTATTTCCCACTGTAAAGCATGGAGGAGGAGGTGTTATGGTGCGGTGCTTTGCTGGTGACACTGTCTGTGATTTATTTAGAATTCAAGGCACACTTAACCAGCATGGCTACCACAGCATTCTGCAGCGATACGCCATCCCATCTGGTTTGCGCTAAGTGGGACTATCATTTGTTTTTTAACAGGACAATGACCCAACACACCTCCAGGCTGTGTAAGGGCTATTTTACCAAGGAGAGTGATGGAGTGCTGCATCAGATGACCTGGCCTCCACAATCACCCGACTGAGCGGTTTGGGATGAGTCGGACCGCAGAGTGAAGGAAAAGCAGCCAACAAGTGCTCAGCATATGTGGGAACTCCTTCAAGACTGTTGGAAAAGCATTTCAGGTTAAGCTGATTGAGAGAATGCCAAGAGTGTGCAAAGCTGTCATCAAGGCAAAGGGTGGCTATTTGAAGAATCTCAAATATAAAATATATTTTTATTTGTTTAACACCTTTTTGGTTACTACATGATTCCATATGTGTTATTTCATAGTTTTGATATCTTCACTATTATTCTACAATGTAGAAAATAGTACAAATAATGAAAAACCCTTGAATGAGTAGGTGTTCTAAAACTTTTGACCGGTAGTGTGGGGAAAAAAAGTATTTAGTCAGCCACCAATTGTGCAAGTTCTCCCACTTAAAAAGATGAGAGAGGCCTGTAATTTTCATCATAGGTACACGTCAACTATGACAGAGAAATTGAGGAAAAAAATTCCAGAAAATCACATTGTAGGATTTTTAATGAATTCATTTGCTAATTATGGTGGAAAATAATTATTTGGTCACCTACAAACAAGCAAGATTTCTGGCTCTCACAGACCTGTAACTTCTTCTTTAAGAGGCTCTTCTGTCCTCCACTTGTTACCTGTATTAATGGCACCTGTTTGAACTTGTTATCAGTATAAAAGACACCTGTCCACAACCTCAAACAGTCACACTCCAAACTCCACTATGGCCAAGACCAAAGAGCTGTCAAAGGACACCAGAAACAAAATTGTAGACCTGCACCAGGCTGGGAAGACTGAATCTGCAATAGGTAGGCAGCTTGGTTTGAAGAAATCAACTGTGGGAGCAATTATTAGGAAATGGAAGAAATACAAGACCACTGATAATCTCCCTCGATCTGGGGCTCCATGCAAGATCTCACCCCGTGGGGTCAAAATGATCACAAGAATGGTGAGCAAAAATCCCAGAACCACACAGGGGGACCTAGTGAATGACCTGCAGAGAGCTGGGACCAAAGTAACAAAGCCTACCATCAGTAACACACTACGCCGCCAGGGACTCAAATCCTGCAGTGCCAGACGTGTCCCCCTGCTTAAGCCAGTACATGTCCAGGCCCGTCTGAAGTTTGCTAGAGTGCATTTGGATGATCCAGAAGAGGATTGGGAGAATGTCATATGGTCAGATGAAACCAAAATATAACTTTTTGGTAAAAACTCCACTCGTCGTGTTTGGAGGACAAAGAATGCTGAGTTGCATCCAAAGAACACCATACCTACTGTGAAGCATGGGGGTTGAAACATCATGCTTTGGGGCTGTTTTTCTGCAAAGGGACCAGGACGACTGATCCGTGTAAAGGAAAGAATGAATGGGGCCATGTTTCGTGAGATTTTGAGTGAAAACCTCCTTCCATCAGCAAGGGCATTGAAGATGAAACGTGGCTGGGTCTTTCAGCATGACAATGATCCCAAACACACCGCCCGGGCAACGAAGGAGTGGCTTCGTAAGAAGCATTTCAAGGTCCTGGAGTGGCCTAGCCAGTCTCCAGATCTCAACCCCATAGAAAATCTTTGGAGGGAGTTGAAAGTCTGTGTTGCCCAGCGACAGCCCCAAAACATCACTGCTCTAGAGGAGATCTGCATGGAGGAATGGGCCAAAATACCAGCAACAGTGTGTGAAAACCTTGTGAAGACTTACAGAAATCCGTTTGACCTGTGTCATTGCCAACAAAGGGTATTTAACAAAGTATTGAGAAACTTTTGTTATTGACCAAGTACTTATTTTCCACCATAATTTGCAAATACATTCATAAAAAATCCTACAATGTGATTTTCTGGATTTTTTTCCCCTCATTTTGTCTGTCATAGTTGATGTGTACCTATGATGAAAATTACAGGCCACTCTCATCTTTTTAAGTGGGAGAACTTGCACAATTGGTGGCTGACTAAATACTTTTTTTCCCCACTGTATATTAAGCCATTATTGCATGGAACTCCCATCTCATATTGCTGAAATGAATAGCATACCTGGTTTCAAAAAACAGATAAAGCAACACCTCACGGCACAACGCCTCTCCCTTATTTGACGTAGATATTTTGTGTGTATGTGTGCCATTTTTTTATATATGTAGTTCTGTCCTTGAGCTGTTCTTGTCTATTAATGTTCCGTATTATGTCCTGTTTCATGTTTTGTGTGGACCCCAGGAAAAGTAGCTGCTGCTTCACAACAGCTAATGGGGATCCTAATAAAATAACAAATACCAAAATATTTTTTTTTTACAAAACTGTTTAAGCACTGTCAAGTTCCTTGGGGAGTGTTGATGGACAGCAAGCTTCAAGTCATGCCACACATTTTTGATTGAATTTGGGTGGGGGCTCTGACTCGGCCACTCAAGGACATGTACCTTTTCATACCGTAGCCACTCCACTGTAGCTTTGGCTGTGTGCTTCTGGTCGTTGGCATGCTGAAATGTTAACTTCCGTCCCAGTTTCAGCATTCTTGCAGAGGGAAGCAGGTTTTCCTCAAGGACTTTTCTGTACATTTCTCCATTCATTTTCCCTACCATCCCTTCTTTCCCAGTCCCTGACAATGGGAAACATCCCCATAACATGATTCTGCCACCACCATGCTTCACAGTAGGGATGGTGTTCTATGGGTGATGTGCCGTGTTGGGTTTGCGCCAAACGTAACGCTTTGCATTTAGGCCAAAAAGTTCCATTTTAATTCTGTCAGTCCACAAAACTCCAAAATGTTTTTTTGCATACTTCAAATGGGATTCAAGGTGAAATTTCTTGAGTAATGGCTTCCTTCTTGCCACCCTACCATACATGCCACATTTGTGGAGCACTTGTTATATTGTTGTCACATGCATACTTTGACCAGTCTTGGCCATAAAAGCCTGTCGTTCTTTCAAAGTTGACATTGGACTCTTGTTAGCCTCTCTGATCAGTCTCCTACTTGCTCTGTCATCCAGTTTGGAGGGAAGGCCTGATCTAGGCAGAGTCTTGGTGGTGCCATAAACCTTCCACTTCTTAATAATCGTCTTGACCGTGCACCAAGGGATATTCAAGGCCTTTTAAATGTTTTATACCCATCCCCTGATCTGTGCCTTTCCACAACTTTGTCCCAGAGTTCTTTTGAAAGCTCATTGGTGCTCATGGTTGAGTGTTTGCTTAACTTGGTGTGTGATTTTGAAGGTGATTGGTTACACCTGAGCTAATTTAGGATTGCTATTACAAGGGGGGTGGACACTTATCCAACCAAGCTATTTCAGTTTTTATAGATTTTCAACAAGAAAAAAGAGAATAGTTTTCACTTAGAAGTTGTGGGGTAGGATGTGTAGATCAATGGTGAAAAAACTATTTTAATGCATTGTAATTCGAGGCTATAAAACAACAAACTGTGAACATTTTGAAAGGGGGTATAGACTTTCTATGGGCACTATATCACAACAAGTTAGACAATCTTTATTTGATGCACAAATCTTAACAAAAGTAATAGGCTAACAAAATCTATTAGAACAGTCTACCAGAATCCTTGATTTCTGTTTAACTGTACTTACTGCTCCATCCGGGACACATATTGCCTGGATACAGCCTCCTGGTTGGTTGAGGGCGTCTTTAAGGAACTCTATTTCTGTGTTGTGGAATGTTTTACTGATGTCCATGAGCTATAAAAGTAGGAAACACATTTCAAATTAGAACACTGAAGCAGGATATTCTTACTTCACTATCAGATTGTAGCATTTAAAAATACCCCCCAAAATGTAAAATAATTTCTAAGTATTTTGAGCAAACCTTCATGGCGAATCGTGTGTCTGGCTTGTCCACTCCATAGTCCTTCATTGCTTTTTCATAAGTCATGCAGGGGAAGGGTGTGGAGACAGGATCTTTCTCCACGGGCCAGGAGTACTGGACCAAGCCCTCAATCAACCCTCGGATTCCAGCTTGATCCACAAAGGACATCTCAATGTCCACCTAGGGAGGATAGATAAGAGGCATTGTAGAGGAATGAGGGCAGAATTAAACTTGAATTATCTGTGTGTTTGTGTGTTTCCAGCGAGGACCTTTAACAGAGTGAGCTGTGTGGGTGTCAAATTAAGAACCCCATTAAAGCTGTTCAACACTCATCTGCCAAAGTTATTCTATCTGCCCTAAGAAATAGTTGATCATGTCTCTTCTCAGAGCTAATCACTGCATTACCTGGGTAAATTCTGGCTGTCTGTCTGGTTTGGAACCTTCATCTCTGTAGCACCGGGCCACTTGAAAGTACCTGCAAGATAAATGTACATTAGAGAGTTACAATTCAAAGGCAAAACATTTTTTCACAAGGAATATATGCTCAAAACCAAAGTTGTTGATCTATGAAACAATGGACACAGGGCATCAGGTGTAACAATGTAACTGGTTATTCAGTGCAACGGATGCATTTTGTTTACCTGTCGATGCCAGCCACCATGAGAAGCTGTTTAAACTGCTGAGGACTCTGAGGCAGGGAGTAAAATCGACCAGGTTCTCTTGAAGGCACCACAAACTCCTTTGCACCCTGGAAAATACAAATACATGAGGGGAGGACTGACTCCTTTATAAATAATTTCATAGAGGAGCTCCTACTCTATAATACACATAATTTCTCCAAAATAGTGTTCGGAGAAAGTAAAATGTTGTGTGGAGTACAATGGAGAGCACCTACCCCTGGAGTCCTCTTAAATAAGGTGGGAGTTTCAACATCCACAAACCCTAGAATCATGGAAACAAACATATTATGAAAACAAATACACTTCTGTACAGTAGGATAGGAACTGGAGAGGCAACTCAAGGACACGTACCATGCACATTGCAGAGGTACTCTCTCATCTTCATCACTAGCTGGGACCTCAGCCTCAAGTTATACTGCATTTGTGACGAACGAAGGTCCAGATAGCGATACTGCATCCGAAGGGATTCAGATTTCTGTAAACAAAGAGTAAAGCTCATCAATACTGAAATAATAATGCTAACAATAAATATGTTAGTTTTTTGTGTGTGATGTTATTATGCGTAAATAATGTATTTAATCACATACTCACTTTCACAAAATCTTTGATTTCAAAGGGCAGCTTACGGCAGACATTTAGAATCTCCACACTCTCTGCAAGAACCTCAATCTCTCCTGTGGCCATCTCCTTCAATTTACAAAATTGCGACACATATCAGAATGGAGTCATTCACAATAACACTGACGGTAAATGTTACTGCCACTTGTCTTGTCATCAGTCTCACCTTGTTATCTTGTCCATCTGGTCGAAGCCTGACTGTGCCTTTCACCTTGATTACTGATTCAGGTGGTAAATCACACAAGGCTGTTTTCAGATGAAGTTTGGCCTAGGCACAAATTACAAATAAATATATAGTCAATATATAGAAACGTTAAAATATATGACATATACATCGGAATTTCAATAACAGAAATGCAAAATACAGCAGTGTTTTTGGAATAATTAATAAAAGTGTAGAACAGTCTTACCTCGTCTTGAGGGATAAGAATTTGTGCCAAGCCACTGAAATCTCTCATGATAAGAAATAAATCCTGTCTGATTGGAGCAAAACCATGTGTACACTGTTAGAATTAGCACAATGCAATTATTTCCATGTGATGATATAGGCTACTTTAAATATGAATAGAAACAGTATGTGAGAAGAATAAAGTGCTTGAAACAGTGAAACATGTCAAACCTCAGATATTGAACCCAGCCACACAGAGTGACTTCATCTCCTACATCAGCAGGCCGTAGTTCCCCACAAGTGTGACTCCGAAGGGACAAGCTGCTAGAACCTGGAGAGACATAAAGTTAGTGTTATGCCTGCTCTATATTAAGCATAGACATAATTATTCGTTGAGTAGTGTTCTTCCATCCTGGTCCTGGACACCCACGTTGTACTCTTTTGGTCCAGCCCAGTAGTAACAAACCTGTTGTGCACGTTGAGTGTTTGTTGACATTGAGAGAAAATCTCAAATGCATAATGCTGGGTTTGATCAGATGTCCTTGGCATGCAATCGGAATTGTTGTCCTTCGCCATAGTGAATATGCCTTGGTCTCCTGTCTACAGAGGAGAAGCATCCTCTGTGCCAATGCTCTGCTTTTATTGGCCATTTCAGATAGCTTGCTAGCTAACAGTACTGTAGCTAACTAACCAGCTCTTAGCTATTATCTAACCTTGTAAAGATATGTATTGCAAGCTGGCTGCTTGTTGTATATGGGTGCTAGCTACATAAACCTCATACGACTTATGCCCGATCAAAGCGACTGGCAATCTTGATGTGAAAAATTTAACTTTAGTTGCATCATGTCGATATGGTCCAAACGACGGCGTTAGGTAGCTAAAACTCGCTGCACCAGCGTCCTCTAATTCCTTCCATGCCTCGTCCACGTTCAGGCTGAAGTAGGAAGCACAAGTCTGAATAAGTATGGATGTACTTGGTATCGACAGTTTGTTACTTGTAGTGTGTCCATCCGTTGTGCTTACAGATTAGTGATTTTGTGCTCAATTTGTGTAACACATGACGGGGAAGGAGCGTTCTATTTCTGACCAAAGTAGTCAAACTACGAAAGGATCGATTACAATCTTTGTAGATAGATACAATATATTGAACAGCCTTTGAATCTTCAAGTGTATGAAAGGATTCGACGCATAGATTTGACGTCAATGTTGAATGATGCTGTAATTGACTACTTTTCCTTATCAAGATTCCAGTTGCATCATGGGAAAGCGCGATGTTCAAAATCCACTTCCTGTTGTTATTTTCTTTTCAGTCATGGAGGAACGGAACAGGTACAAAACTATTGCGATCGCTTATCTATTATTAATAAATATCGCTAGACAGCTTTGTTATCGACGTTAACGTTATAAAAAAGATAGCTAACTAAGCTGTTGGTCGGCGAGGAAACCAGACCGTATCAAAACAGCAGCTGCTTAGCCAAAACTAGCTCTGGAAAACTCTAGGCGGCATTCTGCCTTCTCTGTACACTACAGTTTTCTGCGGTTAGCTTCTCCCACGACTAGCCCATGTGAACTACAATCCCAATGCTGTGTTTTAATGTTTAGAAACGTTAATAATCATCAAGTGCAATACGGCTTTCGAAACAAATGGTCCTTATCTTTCATCAGCGAGAAAGAATCCTTCAAATAAAATATATACTTACTGTAATTTAGCAGTTTTGCACAGATCCATACAGCTATGGGTGCCTCTAGCCCAATATTGGACTAAAGGGCATACTCGTTAGACCACGGACCACATGTTCTGTTTAAAGGGCGAATTGGCTCTGGAAGCCAAAACAGCCAAATATTAAATCTAACTGTGAATTGATTGAACATGATATGTTCTTTACAGCATTGTAAAGACCCCACTCAACAATGTCTTGGCACAACGAAGGAGTAAGAGTTACAGGAGATCCATGCAAAGCTGTGTTGAAGCAACTAATCTTGAGTACACATCAGGCCATCTGACAGCTCTAAGAACACCAAGAAGTAGAAGAACTCCAAAATCACGTGATATCACAGTAAGTAGCTAAAACCAATAATTGTGGTTGTATTCACAACTCTTCAACATCATTGTGTAAAGTTGACACGACTAATCTGTAGGCTTGATCCTTAGCCCTACTTGATATTTTCAGACATTATCCCTTGAGTGTGTAATATTTGAATCCATCTGACTTCTCTCTTTGCTCTCTAGAAACAGGTTGACCCAGATCAAGTGGCACTCCTGGTGACGAAGGAATGGCAGCTGTCGTACGTCACACCTTTGTACCATTTCAGACACACTCAGTTGAAATACTACTCAAAGCAGCTATCAGCTTTCATTGTATCAGAGAAGCAACAGGGCCTGGCGATTGAAGTTGGCCAGGAATTGGGCTTCAAGGTCAATTTTTCGGTGGTCCTGGGGTTGGCAGAGATGGATGAAGATGCGGAGACGGTTTTCATACAGGTAAGGGTTTTTTCTCAAAATGTAATTTACAGTACATACTATATTCTTCTGTGAAATCCGACTTTGGTGTTCAACATCATCTGTTGTTCTCTTCCTCACAGATTCTCTCCAAACAAGCGTTCGCTGCAAAAGATGACGCTCAGAAGGTTGTGTGGAGTGGCTGGCTGACCTGCGTCAACGGTGACTTGGAATATCTCCGATCACTACCATCGGAATTTGTCAGTTTGCCTTTGCTCTGTACCAGGGGACCAGAGTCTCTCACAGTGTTGATCAAATCCTGGTTTGAAAAGACATTTGACTGTTGTTTCGGCCCTCTTGGTATCAACTCTACCAACCTCCAGTGGCTCGCAGCCCTGTGGACTGGGTGCCACCCCACCATCAACATCCAGTACCTGAAACTGGTCTGGACACTCCCAACACTACCCCCTATGGACGTGAAGTACACCATCCACCCACAAGATGCCTGGGAGCTATGGGACAGCGTGCGGCAGGATGACATTACAGATGTCAGCATCGAGGAGGTCACCAGGTTCATCAAAGTGCTGCAGTCACACTTCTTCAGGCACTTCAGGATAGACTTGTCTGCTGGGTCACTGATGCAGGTCTCCACGGCTTTGGGTTCTTCTCACCATAGTGGAAAAATCAAGGTAGATATCATGCACACATCTGGAGAAGTATCTAGAACTTTAGATCCTAATGAAATGTTATGACTGAAACATATCTGCGATCCCTTTTCCTTAACAGATTGCAAGCCCTACCTACATCACCACCATCCTGCAGCTGCTGACAGAATGTGCCCTCCTGAAGATGCCCATCTAATCAACATTTGTGCTTGTAAAAGACATGTAATCCCCACAATTACTGTCCATATGAAATTAAACCGTTTTACACTTATGTTCCTGTAAATATCATAAGTAGCTGTATTGTATGAAAGGCAAGTGCATACATTTCAAAATAACCATTCTTGCTGCTTGTGTTCTCTATAGATATTCACTACAAGCTTAAGTGTAAGGGTGATAATTGATTATATAATCAGGTTTGAGACATGGTAAATCCAGTGCCATCAAGTAACTTGGGCAGAAGTTCTCCTGAAGATAATCCAGATATACAGTACAGTGAATCAGGTGGCTAAATGCAAACTAACAAAGTCTAGTTTTCCAGAGAACTAGCCTTGTAATCCCTGTGCAGTAATTTCCTAAATGGTTAACAGAACCTGTAAATACTTTTCAAATACAGATTGTTTTTGAGCTTATTAAAGTTGGAAATAAAAAAGGTTTTTATTAACAGAATGGGTTATTTTGTCAGTACACAGACAAATCCACAACAGTTAATAACGGTAAAATGCCCTGTGTTTTATCAAGGCTTACAGCTCATAAAGAGAAATCTCAGACCTTTAGCAGAAATAAAGCATCCCTCATCTTTCTTCATATACATTTGCCCCCAAAACGCTTCCATACTTGACAAATGGTAACATGGGATTTATATAGACATTAAAATGCTTTGAGTCCCACGGTAACGCTGGCGTGTTTTAGTGCCATAACCCCTTTTAAAACAGACTTCTGGGTTTGTGCATTGGATTCGTCTATTTCTTCTGCGATTAACAGCGGCTGAGCTGTAGCAGTGTTTGTGAGACAAGGAAGATAGTTCTCACAAAGATGTCTGTATATTCTGAACAGTTTGAGCTACAAATTTATGACCCCACTATGAAAAGCTGAGACACCCACAAACATGAACACTTCTTTGCTCACAAGCCACACAAGCGTCGTTAGAAGGTAAAGGTTCTTCTACATAGATTATTGGACATCCCAGGACATAGTGTCTATAATAAGCTCACACAGTTGTCACTGAATAGTTGGATATTTATTTCCAACTGAGAAAACAACTTCTATACTATCAGCAATCTTATGAATTCATTTTCTGTACGGTTTTTGCTTGGCGGACCTTGTGTTTTGATTGACATTTGTGAATAAAACTCATAAATGCAACTGCTCATGTCAAATTGTTTTGTGTTCTGCTTGTAGCCATGGTTGTCCTGAAAAGACAATGGTAAAACACTTCAATGTGAGGCTAAATATGAGGGCCGAGCAGGTAGATAAATGAAAGTAGTGAATTTCTGATAAGGTTAAGATAGTCCTTTTTCAATGAAGCATATTACTGAATGTCCATCCATGTTTTGAATGCTCACCAATGAAGAGGTTAAAATGCATAATACATCAACCGGTTTATTATGCCTTACTGTGTCTTAGATCAACCGCAATGCAACTCATTCCTCAAGAATAATCTATAATAGATTAAAGTGCAAGACTGTCTCAGAAATGTGTCATATAATGTTAAAAGCACAAGTGATGTGTCAAAGAGTTGCTCCTAAAATAATATCCACTGTCACACAACCTTAAATTGGCAACAACAATCTTGTATGAATCAGTTATATACACTGAGTATATAAAACATTAAGAACACCTGCTCATTCCATTACAGACTGACCAGGTGAATCCAGGTGAAAGCTAGGTGAAACCCCTTATTGATGTCACTTGTTAAGTCCACTTCAATCAGTGTAGATGAAGGGAGGAGACGGGATTTTTAAGACTTGAGACAATTGAGACATGGATTTTGTGTGTGCCATTCAAGTGCCCTTGAACAGGGTATGGGGGGGGAGATGCAACTCAATATTAGGAAGGTGTTCCTAATACTTGGTATAATCAGTGTAATATTGTGTAAGCAGCACAGTGCTAACAACTTAGTCGACCAACAATTTAATATTTTAATTTTACAATTGACGCCCAGATGTGAATGTAGAACTCCAGGTTATGCTCAGTGTCCACCTCTAATAAAAACAGCTAAAAAATAGAAAAATATTAGACAATAATCATAATCACAGTGCATTCAATTTAGAGGAGATTCAAACAACTGCCTAACAAGTTCATCAACTATTCACGATGAGGATCAGGAGAAGCGATGCGACCACATCCTACATTTTCAGTTAAACAACAGTTCTCTTTGAAGATTCTTCATCATGCCCCATTTAATATTTAAATGGAAACTCAACGTTGGTATAGTATAACAGGTCACACAGCAAGTCTGAACTGTCTCCTAAAGTGCAGCTGCAGAATCCCATTTCAATAACAGAAAAAGGGGAAATGAAGTGTTTGCCTCCGTGATGTCATAAATAATAGTTCCTCATGTGATTGATGCAGGCCTATTCAGTTGGTTCCTCTTGGCCTTGGCTGGCTTGGCGTGTCAAGTCATAATACAGGAAGTACAGAATAGAGCGATGAACCATAGGCTACTAGATGAGAAGCCTTCCAGACTTGACATCTTGTAGAGTCACTCAAGACATTTCCTTAGCTTGCCAATTACACGGCTGTGGATGAGTTACATTTAGTATAGTCTCAGTCTTCCTTCCTTGCATGATAAACATTGTTTCTTTCAGAGGCACAAGTGACGGTGAGGCCTTTAAACTGGAGGTGTTACCATATGTGGGATTCACAGTGAGTCATTTTGATAACACCAACCCCTCCTCCAAGTCGCCTGTAGTTCATTCCACCGTAGAGTCTGGAGGACGAGAAGAAAATGAATAAAAGGTTCTCTCAGGTTCAACACAAGCACTCTTAGGGTAATCCGTCTTAAGTAACCTGCTACATGCAGTCACCTACCTCCATGTGTTAGCGTCAGGATCATAGACTTCTATTGTTTTAAGATATGTTGTCCCGTCAAAGCCGCCCACGGCCATTAACTGGCCATTTACCACCGCTAGTCCAACCTGCAAGACAACCAATGCTCCAAACATCAACAGGTGAAAGGCAACATTTGATTAATTTCCTATTCTTCCAAATTTCATCTAGTTCATCCCAACACTTTGCATGCTTATCCTAAAATAAAGCACCCAAACCAAACAAAAGTCAAATGTAAGAGATCCAGACTGACCCCACTACGCCTTGAAGTCATGGCTACAACAGGTGACCACTGGTTGGTCCTGGGGTTGTAGCGCTCAGCGCTGCTCAGCTCGGTGGTGTCGTCACGACCACCTACAGAGTAGATCATGTCTTGGTACACTGCACAGCCTAGGTGTTTCCTCCTGGTGCCCATGGGAGAGACAGTGTGCCATCGGTTCTCTTGAGGATTGTACCTCTCCACTGTGCTCACAAAAGAGCAACGCAAACACGCATGGGTAAGATGGGGGGGGGTTAGAGCAGGGTCATATTCATTAGGGTACACTGTAGCAAAACGTAGCAAGAAAACAATAAGTGTTTCTTATTGGACATGTTCAGGTAGTCCCTCCTAACTAATACGATCCAGATCTCTGTAGGGAACTTTGTGGACATTTATGTGATTCTAGGATCTCTTTTCCTAGGATCTCTGAAGCTTCTCATGTGACTTATAAGTATAAATAAATAAAGTAGTATACACCCTTTTAGTGACATGCTGACCAATGAAAGCTACTGTACTGTTTTCTAAGTAATTCATCTGTACCTGTATTGAGAGGGGACGTGCCATCAGAGCCTCCCACTGCATAGAGGAAGCCCCCCAGTACAGCCACGGCTACACCCAGGCGCCTGGTGCTCATCGAGGCCACGCGCGTCCATTTGTTCTCCTTGGGGTCATATCTGTAACAGATAATGCATACAGTCACATTACTCAGAGGAGTCAGCTTTCTGTGATATTTTAGGATGCAAGATGATTTGTCTTTGCCTCAGCATGATAGAACACACTGTATAGTAACCTTTCAACAATGTTGAGACATGATACTCCATCTTGGCCCCCTACTGCGTACAGATACCCTCCCAGGACAGCCACACCCACACTGGTCCTGCACGTGCTGGTGGGAGCCACATCACTACTCCACTGATTGGTCTTGGGGTCATACCTGTTGTGGAGAGTGAGTTCAGTACAGTAAGATAAGGAGGTTAAACAATGAAAGGAAGATAAGCCTCTTGATAAGATCTGGCGTGTGTTCCAATATTTCCTATATAGTGCACTACTTTGACCAGAACCCTATGGACCCTGGTCAAAAGTAGTGCACTATATACAGTAGGAGACTGAGTGCCATTTGGGACGAGGCCCTATAAATAAACATTAACGAGGTGGTGACATATGGACATTGTTTTAGAAACAGGGAAGGAAATGCTAACCTCTCCACACTGTTGAGATATGAAGACCCGTCATGGCCGCCGACAGCATAGAGAAGATCATCAAGGACACTGACCCCCACTCCACAGCGCCTCTTACTCATGGAAGCCACCATGCGCCACTCGTTGGTCTGTGGGTCGTATCGCTCCACACTGGAAATGGCATCCCCACTGCACCACCCTCCAACTTCGAATATGAAAGAGGAAATACAACACTTTGTAGGACTTTGTCTCTTCTAACCCTACGGAATATTTTGTATATTCAATGGACATTATGTTGGCCAAACTAGGCATGACTGTTATTTTGAAAACCTTTTGAAAGCAGATGTGATCAGACACACGTACTGAAAGAATGCTGTAAGGTTAAACAGTTCTAAGACACTAACCTGCAAACAGCACTTCTCCACACCGGATGGGCTTCCGGGGCCGTGTTCTTGGCCCTTGCATTAGAGGTCGCTCTTGGGGCAAGAGGAGGTAGTTCTTTGCCTCATCAACCAGGTCTCTGCACTCCTCATCACTTTTGATGAGAGGGTCTGATCCCACCGTTCCCACCAGGAATTTAGGGCTCAGAAGAGGAAGACGAACGTGCTGGAGAACCTACAACCAGAAAACATATCCTGAATCAAGGATCAAACACACAAGCATTTTCGGTTTTACACTGTCGCTAGTCTTATGTCTTACATTTCCTTTCTGAATTAAAACTAAAAGATGTGTATAACGTTTATTGAGTAATGGAAAACAACATTCTATCTCATACTATGAACTGATCAAGTGTTTACACTGCAGGTATCACCTGTGGCAGCTGTGGCCGGCGCTCCTGAATGCTGTACTTGACCCAGGCCATGACTGCGTTGAAAACCTGCTCTTCACTTCGCACATTCAATTCGTCGCTGGAGATTATGTCTATCAGCTGGTTGGCTGGAAGCAGCATGAACTCCTCACTCTCCATCACCTGAGGGCAAAGTAAGCAAAACGACTTCAGTCATCCTTTCATCAGTTGAAACCTGTTAAAAGCCAAAAAAAAGACAGGGTCTGTGCTCAATATAATTATGCATGGTAAGGCAGTAAAGTTAAACTGGCAGCAGCATCTAGCATCTAATTCACATTTGAAAATTCTGAAAGTTCCATGGCAGTTATTTCCTGAGGATAATAATAACATGGGGATTTAACTTAATGGAAATACTCAACTGTGTGTAAAGAAAACAGAAGATACAATGTAGAAAAGGGATTAGGTTAACTTTATTGTCAGGCTGTGGGGCTAAAATTAGGGTAACCAGTGTGGATTTTCAATTGAATAGCTAAACTAATCCTAAAACAAAAATGTTCCTCTTATAAGCAGAGAGGTAAGATAAGCGACATTTTCTAAATGATCAAATAAACAGATTAAAGATTGTGCCTCAGAGAGTGAGTGCACAGAGAATCATATGTATGCAAAAGAGAGACCACCTTACCTCTTGAAAGTTGTGCTGTGTAAACTTGTCAGCTATCCGCAGAAGCTCGCGGCAGGAGTGGGTGTCAGCAAATGCACGGATACCCAGGCAATTGGAGGGGTCCAACTGACGCTTGAGAAATTCGCAGCAAGCCTCCTGAATCTCGGCCAGCTGTAACAGACAAGCGGCGGGCAGCAGCGTCTGCACGTTGCCCTCCTCTACAGTAACCTGCGAGGTGTAGGCAAAGTCAATGAGAAGCTCCATGGCCCGCTCGTCAATGTCCCGGATCACAACCTCAGTCTGCCGGCTCTCGGCCAGCTCGCCTGTGAACATGGCCCTGAAGTAAGGGCTGCAGGCCGACAGGATCACCCGGTGGGCATATATCTTTTTGGCGCCAACCACCAACACGACATCACACAGTTCCCTGTGCTTGCGTAGCAGATTGATGACCTCTAACGTCTGGCGAGGGTGCTTGTCCGACACATAGGGCATGCGTGCCGGCTGGGGCACACCCTCTGGGAGCTTGTTGGGGTCACCCAGTGTGCAGCGTGCGGTGATGTCCATTCCGGTATTGTCTGGGCGTGCGCTCGTACCCCTGCAGAACAGACACATAAAGCCAGACAGATCAGGGATAAACATCCACAATTCAACATTGATTTATCACAAAAAACTGCCACCACAAAACCTAATTCAAGTTAATAATTGGTATTGTTGGTACTGTCAATGTTGGTATTGGTGGGAGCCAGAATCAAAGTTGACATAATAGCCTAATTCCTTAAGCTAAACAGACATCAGCTATGTCTGAACTATGGACAGTTGAGGTCTATATGTGAAAGAACCAAGTACCAAGACAAAAACATGCCCTTTTAACTAGGCTATGACTTCGATCGTCTACGGTGCAATTCAAGGCCTCTTCAGCTTGCATCTGTTACCCCCCGAGCAATTGCCTCAGCAATTCTTGTTGCCAAACAGTAATCAGCTCTTCCAATTATAGCTCAATTTGCAGTGGCAACAGGAGACTGTCTGACCTCCTACACAATGTAAAGGGAGCATTGGCTACTACACAGAACAAAAGAGGACTGTCTTTCAAATCTAGTTTTACAGGAGGTCCAAGGTACATCAATACTTTCCGGTCCAAATAAGATCCTTCTTTAAAAAGAAAGTTGATTCTACGTGGATGAACTTGTCAAACCACAAAGACTCAAATTGGCCTTGAAACATGGGGCCACAGCTGTTTGGATATTAATGCAAGTGATACTGGCTACAGGCCTAGCACTCCCAGTTTCACCAACCCCTAGCTGGGTTTCTCATCTCTGTGGAGTTGGGTTGCGACGACTGTGGGCGGAGTGTACCTCCGACTACATCGAGTTGCTGTCAGTTGATAGGAGGAAACAGCCGGTGGTTGTAATTGAAGAAAGTTTTATTAAAAAGTATGGATTTCAGCAAACAATGAAAGGCACGCAGCTACAGAGAACAAACATAGGTACACCACAAGGGTTTAAGAATAAAAATATATATAAGTATCGACTGACAGCAACTTGATGTAGTCGGAGGTTCAGTCCGGCCACAGTCGTTTCCGCTCAACTCCATTGATGTGATGTACATCGTGGAGTTGAGAAAGACTTGGCTAACCAACCCCAAGACACCTTTTTTTATTTTTTATTTAACCTTTATTTAACCAGGTAAGCCAGTTGAGAACAAGTTCTCATTTACAACTGCGACCTGGCCAAGATAAAGCAAAGAAGTGCGATAAAAACAACACAGAGTTACATATGGGGTAAACAAAACAAAGTCAAAAATACAACATAAAATATATATACAGTGTGTGCAAATGTAGTAAGTTATGGAGGTAAGGCAATAAATAGGCCATAATGCAAAATAGTTACAATTTCGTATTAACACTGGAATGATAGATGTGCAAAAGATGATGTGCAAATAGAGATACTGGGGTGCAAATTAGCAAAATAAATAACAATATGGGGATGAGGTAGTTGGGTGGGTGGGCTAATTTCAGAATGGCTGTGTACAGGTGCAGTGATCGGTAAGCTGCTCTGACAACTGACGCTTAAAGTTAGTGAGGGAGATAAGAGTCTCCAGCTTCAGAGATTTTTGCAGTTCGTTCCAGTCATTGGCAGCAGAGAACTGGAAGGAATGGCGGCCAAAGGAGGTGTTGGCTTTGGGGATGACCAGTGAGATATACCTGCTGGAGCACATACTACGGGTGGGTGTTGCTATGGTGACCAGTGAGCTAAGATAAGATGGGGATTTGGCTAGCAGTGATTTATAGATGGCCTGGAGCCAGTGGGTTTGGTGGGTATTATAGCCGTTTTGGCTTTGGTGACAAAACGGATGGCACTGTGATAGACTACATCCAAGTAGAGTTTTGGAGGCTATTTTGTAAATGACATCGCCGAAGTCAAGGATCGGTAGGATAGTCAGTTTTACGAGGGCATGTTTGGCAGCATGAGTGAAGGAGGCTTTGTTGCGAAATAGGAAACCGATTCTAGATTTAACTTTGGATTGGAGATTCTTAATGTGAGTCTGGAAGGAGAGTTTACAGTCTAACCAGACACCTAGGTATTTGTAGTTGTCCACATACTCTAGGTCAGACCCGCCGAGAGTAGTGATTCAAGTCGGGTGGGCGGGTGCCAGCAGCGTTCGGTTGAAGAGCATGCATTTAGTTTTACTAGTGTTTAAGAGCAGTTGGAGGCTACGGAAGGAGTGTTGTATGGCATTGAAGCTCGTTTGGAGGTTTGTTAACACAGTGTCCAATGAAGGGCCAGATGTATACAAAATGGTGTCGTCCGCATAGAGGTGGATCCGAGCGTCACCAGCAGCAAGAGCGACATCATTGATATACACAGAGAATAGAGTCGGCCCGAGAATTGAACCCTGTGGCACCCCCATAGAGACGGCCAGAGGTCCAGACAACAGGCCCTCCGATTTGACACATTGAACTCTATCTGAGAAGTAGTTGGTGAACCAGGCGAGGCAGTCATTAGAGAAACCAAGGCTATTTAGTCTGCCAATAAGAATGCGGTGGTTGACAGAGTTGAAAGCCTTGGCCAGGTCGATGAAGACGGCTGCGCAGTACTGTCTTTTATCGTTTGCGGTTATAATATCGTTTAGGACCTTGAGCGTGGCTGAGGTGCACCCATGACCAGCTCGGAAACCGGATTGCATAGCGGAGAAGGTACGGTGGGATTTGAAATGGTCGGTGATCTGTTTGTTAACTTGGCTTTCAAAAACTTTCGAAAGGCAGGGCAGGATGGATATAGGTCTGTAACAGTTTGGATCTAGAGTGTCACCCCCTTTGAAGAGGGCGATGACCCTTTATTGTCGATTCTCGATTATTGTAGATTTATCAGTGGTGATAGTGTTTCCTAGCCTCAGTGTAGTGGGCAGTTGGGAGGAGGTGCTCTTATTTTCCATGGACTTTACAGTGTCCCAAAACTTTTTGGAATTTGCTACAGGATGCAAATTTCTGTTTGAAAAAGCTAGCCTTTGCTTTCCTAACTGATTGTGTATATTGGTTCCTGACTTCCCTGAAAAGTTGCATATCGCGGGGATCTTGGTGGTAGTAGCAAATATTCAAACGAGAACTTTGAGGTCATTTCCAAGTCATAGGTGAGGACAACTACTCCACTTATATAATAGAAGCATACAGAACTCAACCCCCATTCATTTCGATCATATTACATTACTTATACATGTTGATTTTACAATTTACAACAAACCTAGCCTACATAATAAATCATTTTAAAAAACACTGACATTTCTGTAATTTGTCATGAAGAATTATTAACTAAACCAGGACACAATTGTCATTGGATGTCAAAGGATGAAAATGTATTTTTAACAAAAAAATTACAAAAAAACATTCAAGCCACACAAAAAATAACTCTGGTCATCACATACCTGCGCATTGGCTTTCCGTCCATGCACAAGAAAAACAACCTTTGGTCCCACAACTTTTTGCCAACCTTTGTGAGTGGAACAACAAGGTAGAGATAAGTTCCAATTTATTATAGGGAGGGATGTTAGAGCACACAAGCCACTACTAGTGTAACATACAGGGGGGAAAGCAATGCGTTTTCCATATTGAGGTTACCGTGATATGCAAGTAATGACTAGTTAAGACAACTAGCTAGAAAAATGTGTACCCAATTCTTAACGCCTTGGTAGATAGCTGACCAACTAGTAGGCCGATAGGCTAATAGCTAGGTACTGTTGATACAGATGAGATTGAAATCTAGCTACTGTAGCCAACAAACTAGCTAGCTAAACAAGCTACTGTTAGACAAAGCCACAAACTAAGCTTGGAAAAACTGACGCTTACTAGCTAGCTAGTTATTATATTTAGAGGGTTATGTAACTAGCAGACTGCATTTCATTCTAAAAACGAAAAAGATATCTCGCAGACATCAAATGTTAGCATTTAGCAAGCTACCTACTCTAGCCAACTTTCAGGAAAGCAGCTAACGTTAGCTAACCGCTTCCCGCTAGAGCTAACGCGGGCTGGCTAGGTTAGCTAACCACAAATCTTTTCCATGGAGAAATGCTATCGTTACTGGATCAAGAAACGATGCAGGTCGAAAACAAATATTTACCTTATATTTCCATTCGAACGTCTAGCAAAGTGACAGATCGCCAATATTTCAAAAGCTACCTTGCAGAATCGCAAGCTACGATTTCTTTAGACATTCCATACAATTCCAATCAACAGGAAATTTGCATTGTTGTGTATTTCACAGCAAGGTCCCCCTCGGAACGATTATTGGCTGGTTCTACTGGCACATAGTTCCGATGTGCGCATTGCACAGGAAAACATAAGAATAAGTAAATGTTTGTGGGGAATATACACTTTCTACAGGTTTTCTTTTGTGCATATAACGTTACACTTTCCACACCAATCAAATGACAAAACAGGTAGTCTTCCTTTCCTTTTCTTTTAAGGATTTGTGTTAGCAGGGAAGGAAAAATGAGTGACCCTTGTATCCATGGAAACAATACGTGTAATTTATGTATCTAGCAAAACTACTTTGCCAATGAACCGTTGTATACTACGCTATACCAGAACAATGCAGTCAATTGAAGAACATTCTGTATTTCACTATGCTTTGACTGGAGATATCGAAGGTCTACAAAAACATTTGGAAAACGAGTGCAACTCTGGCAACGAAGAGCCACTAGAGGATTTGTTCTGGGAAAAGGATGAGATGGGTAGAAATGCACTTTTCACTGCATGTATGCTTGGAAGAAGCACCACCGTACGGGAACTTTTGAAGCATGGAGCTCAAGTTAACGAGTGTACTGCAAGAGGTAGGTGTTCCAAGTTCCAACCATATAATTCGAACTAGACTACTGCACGCACACACACACACGTTACACTTTAAATGATCACATCTCTAGTAGTAATACACAATATCAAGAGTCATTTTGATTTTCAAATACAGGTTATTCCCCACTGCATTGTGCAGCCCTCTGGGGCCAGCTTGAGACAGTGAAAACTTTGGTGGAACTTGGTGCCGATATGCAGGCGAAGAACTTCCGCAGGGAGAGGGCCATGGAAGTTGCCTCCCGTTATTCTAAAATGGATTGTGCAGAATATCTTACCTGGGCAGGTGAGATAGACTGAAAGTATGAGAGTCAGGCACTTGTATAGGCTTCTGGATGAGGCCAGTGTGTGTGTGTGAGAGAGAGAGAGAGAGAGAGAGAGAGAGAGAGAGAGAGAGAAAGAGAGAGAGAGAGATGAGATAAACTTCCTTTCATAGCATGTGCTGCATGTAAAAACATAATTATTCACTCACTCCAGAGGCTAAGCAGGACTTGCAGTCCTACGTAACACATGTGAGAGACACCATTGCTGACCCAGAGAAGGTTCAAGGGAAACTCAACAAGGAGGATAAGGTAACACACTTACATCAACTTTATAAACTATTATACTCCCAGTAGATATCTCTATCTTGTCCTTTTTACAACTATAAAAAATAAGTTATTTTTTCTCGCTACTTAGAATATATGTACAAACACCTGCTCAGTAAAGTCGGATTGGATCCAGAATGCCAAGAACCCATCTATCCAAGACTTCATTGAGCAGAGGAGGCATCTTGAGGACATTATTAATCCCATTCTGTCCAAGCTCACGACTCAACGTGAGTATGACTATCAAATGATTTTGTGCAGGATCGTAATTCAAGTCTACCTCTTTTGTTTCTTTTCCTTATCTACACAGCACACTATTCATCCTGGATGTATAATATCCTAAACCTATGCTACCCACTTTGACATTGTGTGTATGTATACTGACTGAATATCTATGACTTGAGAGTGATGCCTTTTTATTTATATTTGCAGCTGAAGCCACAGCTAAAGCAAGCAAAAACTGAAGATAGACAATGTGTCACAATTAAATATGCTCACAAAGGCTCCAGAGAAGGTCTAAAACGGTTAAACTAACCAAAGTGGAATTTGTCAACCATTGCATGTACTATCGAAATATTTTTAATAATAAAATATCAGAACCACCATCATTTATCATGTGTGCATTGTCTTTGCAAGTTAGCAGATGACTGGGTTGATGACAGGGTTACGATTTTGAGGTGGAATTCTCAACAGACTGAGAAAACTATACTTACCACAGTGGGGAGACATAGTACACAGTTTGGTGTTAAGAGAAGTCTGAGTGAAAAGACATAAACCAATGGTTTATATACATCATTGATATAAACAAGTATTTTAAGACATGCTGAAAGGTAGTATATATGTAATCTATTGATGATATCAATTATAAAACTAGCAATAACATCATTGAGGTATGGTAGTTTAATTCACGCACTTGAAGAAAACTTTGCACATTTTAAATGGTAATCAAATAAGACAATTAGCTAGGTATCAATTCAATGTATCAAATTGAAAATTAGTTGCTGCACCATTATGTTTTTATTAGTCAAAAAATATATTCAATTGCAGCCTACATCAGACCTATATCTGCAATGTTAATACTATTCAAGTGTGTGCCATTGCTGGAGTCTATACTTCAAAGATTTCTAATAACAAATAAAAAAAAATGTACATAATATATGCACATCATCGATGCTTCTAAATAATTGTTCTTACTCTTGTTCATGTGGAATCTGACATAGCAGGGCACACCCCTTTGCTTTGAACCCATGCGTAAACGATTCGCTCTGTGATCCTCTGCTCTCTCCTGGATCCCAAAATTCTTGCGCTGGCATGCGATAGAAGTGGAAGTTTGGATAGTAAATGTGACCCCCGTGGAAGAGGGAAGAGAAACCTTACCTCGTGAGTACCTGTTCGAGTATTCAAGAATGGGCGAATCATTGACGTCACGGCCGCACAAACGTATTATTTGGCTACCTACACATTTGCTTGGAATAACAAGGGGATCGTACTAGACGTTCGGGACTTTTTCTGCGCGTGGTCCTATTGGAGCAGCACTCTACCCTCTGATTGCTGAGTAAGGAGGATATGGGAACAAGACCGTTGGCGACAATGTCAACAGTGTAGCTATCCATAGCTAAAAACTGTATTTTTACCAGTAGACCACTACAACCTTGATTGCTAGCCCGCAGTAGTCTGAAAGAAAACATGATAGGGGGGCTTTCGTCTAACTAGCTAGAACGCTAGGGGTACCAAACAATGAAATAGCTAGCGTGAGCTAGTAAACGTGAGCGAACTTAGCCCGGTTAAACTTTAATGTTTTGACATAAAGCTAACTCACCAGCAGTTAAATTAAGTAGCTAACGTCATTGCTTCCCTTTGAGGATTAACGTTACGCGTGGACTTTCCGTTTTGGACACAGTTTCTACTTGGAAGTTATTGGAAAGGTGATTCTACTATGCAGACCGACTCAGTCACAGGCGACGTGGATTCTCTTCGTGGGGGACTTCTTTCCTTGGATCCATTGGTGGACCGAATCCTAGGGGATTCTTTATGTCAGCAACAAGGATGGGTGCGCGTATATGGTAAGATGGACAGCCAATTTTCAAAGCTGCTTTTCTAATTGCATTGTGCACTGAGGTGCATTTTGACATCTCAATATCCAATTCCAACGTTGCAATAAGAGCACCAGTGTCGTGGTTGGAAAAAATGGCACATGGCTTGAGGGAACAAGCATCTACTTCCCAGTAACCATAGACATAATTTACCCCATATATAATGTGACATCATTGGTTGAGCCTTTTGTGCGATTATGTACATTTGCTACCTTTGCTCGATCATGCCAAAATCACAGTAAGTATAATTAGAGTATTTGCCATTGCACCGGTACATATTTGCCACCCAACAGAAATATATCTAACTTCCTACTTTATTTCATATTTGTTTAAGGTGAGCCATAATGGAGAGATTGAATGACATATTTTTGTCAAGTGGCTAGAACACATGAAAGGCTCATATTCAGAATTCCATGTGCATCATATGTCCAAAAAATGAAATATGACAACAACCAAAGATACACGAAGGTCATTTCTTCTTCTTGACATGCTTTCAATTCATATGAAATCATAGGTCTGAGCAGTAGCCTAATATCCAATACTTTGCATGCTTATTTCCCAAGCCCCATCATAGACTACACACAGAAGTTACAGAAAGAGCTGTTAATTAAACAGTAACACCTCTATATTATCAGGGAGCAATTCACTCCGCTACCACCAGTAGTGGGGGATTTTCAGGCACCTTACTATGTATCTACATGAATAAGTCAGATCCTATTGTTGGGTCTGGATGAGGAGCAGTAGGAATTGACAAGGTGATGGATGGGAGTTTTGACCCTCTGAAAATGACATTCCTCACTAGTGAAAATGTAGCTAATAGGATTGGAGCATTACCACCACTATGCAATATGGTTGTGACTTGTTATCAGAGGAAGATGAGTGCATAATGTAATTGCTCTCAGCCAGTGTTAATTTACTGGCCTGATTAATTGCAATGCTATTTATTGATTGCATGGCTTTACATCAGGCAGGGTTTGATCTAAGAATTGCTAGCAAAATTTGAACTAATGTGTCTCTGTAGCCTGCATCCTGTAGTCATGTTTACGTTGACATTTTAATCATTTAGCAGATGCTGTTATCCAGAGTGACTTACAGTAGTGAGTGGATACATTTTCATTGGTCCCCCGTGGGAATTGAACCCACAACCCTGGCGTTGCAAATGCTATGCTCTACCAACTGAGCCACACAGGGCCAATAGGCAGGGTCTGTTGTCATGGTAGCTCACTCTCACTTCAATGAATAGAAAGGGATGCTCAATAATATTGTGATTAGACACAGCATCCTTTGCTTTCCGCTACTATGTTTTTATAGTATTTTTATAGCATTTTGATAAGCTTGGATTCCATTCTGTATCGTTTTCTCTTGACGTTTGCAACCATAAATTATTTTTCACAATTAGTCTAAGCCTGCATTGGCTTTGCATTTCCTTGGTCATGCTGTAAGCTCCCTAGAGCTGCTTTGGGTAATGGAACTGTAATGACCTGTATAGATTGGATTGATTTCTAGGCTTTTTAGCTGCTCCTCTTTCAAAGATTATTATTGAAGGGTCGTTCCACCTCAAAAAGCACAAGAAAGAGGATTTCGACACCCACCATCTCAGATTGCTCTGAAATTGTTTCTGTTGTTAGGAACAGATAAGATTATCATTCCTGCAACATTTATTTTATTGAAATATATAATTTTATCTCTGAGAAATTAAGATAGTCGATTGCAAAGTGGGCATTTTAATTGATAGGATTCATATAATATTCAATAAATATAGTACCTAACATCTGATTTGGACCAAACTTTTGTTCTAACAATGAGTTAGACATGAGGAATCCAAAGAAATTGTCAAAATCCACCTATGGATCCGCCCCCACCCCACGCCAATCCCACCCCAACAACGAGTTCTCTATGTCTGACAAGTAGTATGGAGCTGCAGCTCGGAGTATTGTTTCTTCATCCAGTGAATTTGGTGATGTTTTTTTCCTCCTGTTCAGAGAAATTAGTCATTAAAGTTAGGTTTATGTCCCATCCTACATCCTGATATTACCCGGTTCTGACCACTAGATCGTGCTGTTCCAGGTAAAAAAATAAAGGGATAGTTCACCCAAATTACAAAATGACATTTTGCTTTCCTTACCCTGTAATCAGTCTATGGACAAGGTATGATAGAAATCCATGCTTTGGTTTTGTTGTCCACTGTTTCGAATGCTAACTTTCTAGCGTTTGTGACACAAATCCAGTGTAAGTCAATGGTACCTATATTAACATTTTCACACTTCATGTCCAAATCACCCTAAAGTATAAAACAATGATGATTTGGATATGAAGTGCGAAAATGCTAATAAAAGTACCATTAACTTGCATTGGATTTGTGCCACAAATGCAAAAAAGTTAAGTGGTCAGGTGAACAAAATCAAAGCATGGGTTGCTGTCATACCTTGTCCATAAACTGCTTACAGGGTAGGAAACCAATATGTAGAAAAATATATCACCTAATAGCAGGAACAGCGCCATCTAGTGTTCAGAACCTGGTAATATCAGAATGGAGGATGGGACATAAACCTAACAACTTTAATGACTAATTTCCATGAACAGGGGACAAAGAAAATCACCAAATTCACTGAGAATACATCACATAGAATGAAGGAACAGTACTCTGAGCCGCAGCTCCATACTATTTGTCAGACATAAAGAACTGCATGCTCGTTGTTGGGGTGGGATTGGTGTGGGGTGTGGGAGGTCCGTGGAAGGCTTTTGGCATTTTCTTTGGATTCCTCATGTCTTACTTATTGTTAGAAACAAGTTTGGTCCAAATCGGATGGTTAGGTACTATATTTATTGAATATTTATATGAATCCTATAAATTAAAATGGCCAATTTGAGTGCAATCAATTAGCTTAATTTCTCAGAGATCAAATTATATTTAAACAAAATAATGTTGCAGGAATGATAATCTTATCTGTTTCTAACTACAGAAAGGATTTCAGAACAATCTGAGATGGTGGGTGTCATGGCTTGCTGAAATGACATCGAACGACCCTGAACCTTTAAAGGACAGGAGTGATACAATGGAGAACAGAAGCATAATGATGTTGTTCACAGTGTCATGTTAATATGCAAGATGGCTGCCTACTTGAAGAGTGACCAGAAGAGAGCTGTTTTCTTTATGAAAATTGAACATTTTGACCTCGGCACAGTTCTGTTTTTTAAGGCTGTAGTTGTTCTCGAGGGAATCCTGGGAATGTTCTACCAGGCCTATTTTTAGTTGTATTCGTTAATATCCTGGGAAAGAAAGTTGATGTTAAGGGGTCAGTTAACAACATGTTTAGTAACCCATGAATAGGCCTAGATGATGTGTCGTCTGATTATGAGAATGATGTGAAATGTGATGAAATACTTTGAGGGTATCACTGTTCAGTGGATAGGATGAGTCAGTGATAACAGCAGATACCTCAATGACTCAAACAACATTGGGTTGTTGTCTGAGAAATTACAGATTTTAGTCTTAGGCTATAA